TCCCATATAAATTACGAGACAGATCATGGCCAAAGCATAGGAAGCAATTTCAAGAGAATTGCAGACGGTCCTGGTGCTTTAAGATTCTCAGGTTCTAACTGAAATCGTAACAACTATATCAAGGTGGGTCTCTCTCATCACTGTAATGCCGGGTCTCTCCCTGGTGGTGGCAACGAGCATGGTTCGGCTAAGTGCCTGGTGTGCTTGACTCCGTCATGGCAGAAAGAAGAATCGAAAGAATTGACAGCGATCCCTCTGGAATTCGCCTTGGAGGAGAGATCATGCGAGTGGTGAATGTACCGGATGGGGAACGCCAGCCACCGGTATGGGATCAACCGAAGCAGCTGTTGGCCCAGAATCAAGTCATTGTGGGTCATGTCACAAATACTCAAGACGTCGGGGAGTGATGTTTAAAAAGGGATATCCATTATATTTTTAGTGTACGAGGGTGTCATTATGACACATTTAGCATCCTCATTTGGATGCCATTATGGCCTCCAAAATAACATTCAATGCGTTATGATTTCATAATACGCAAATTTTAAAGTAAAAAATAAACAAAATCAAAGTTAGTCACCACTTTTACTTGTTATTATTAACTATAAAAAAATCAACAGCATTTATTTATTGTAAACATTAATTACAACTTTTGAACAATGTTAAATTAATTCCAGCAGATGATAAATGGGCTGTATTTTTAGAAAGTAAGTTTATTTCTCGAGTGCTTGAACTTGTTGGAGAGCCATCAATGCCTGAAACGTTACCCAAAATATTAGAGGCCACTTTCTTCTTATTTTCTTTGGAATCTTCTATATAGCTTTCTTCCACTGTGTTAAAGCGCCAACCGCCATGCTTCTGAACAGTTAATAAATCGACTCCTCAATCTGCAAGCAACGACGTAGATGATCTTTAAAAACAATGTCCAGTATATTGTTGAGGAATTGCAAGACCCAGGCACAATGCTGTATTACATGGCATTTACCAAAAGTATTAATGCCAACAGGATGCTTGATGCATTTTCAATTTCTGTACCCCACAAAAAGTCGAGTATGATATGTGTTGCTTGGGCTCATCGCTGTATGTATATAGAACCATTTCAACCATATTTATTCCTTCCATATTTCGTTTGTGATAAAAAAATCTCGTAATATCTTTGTTTTCGTCGACGGAATAATAATGTAAATGCATTATCCTTTATCTTTAATATTTTATACGTGCAGATAGAAGCATCTGCAAACCCTACTATCAATGCAACTTTTTCATAAAATGAGTTCTATCGTCGACTTCCAGCAAAAACTGACTTGTTTTCTTTTGTTAAAATCTTAGATATATTTGACCGAAATCCTTCTGATTTAGAAACGCAATTAAATGGACGTACTTACTAATATCCGTATTTTTCTTCATTGATATAACTGAACGTAGAATAATACACCCAAAGCGACGAAGGCTTGCTGTGTTTTGAAAGATATTCGAAATATGCCAGAAGAACATTTTCATTGCTGCTATTCTTGATTTCTTTCTCTTTACACCAATCTTCAAGTTTGTATAACTTTGCTCGTACGTATGTCTTGATTTTTTCGGTAAGTTGATAACGCTTTGTGCAATGTCTTCGATAGAATCAGAATCACCCATATTAATATTCTTTTTCACTAAAACTGAACGTATGACACAAAACTGAATATCGATAATAAAGTTGTCAAAGTCTTAAAACAATTAATTAGTACAGTCATTGAAGCTGAAAATGAGCTGTAACCTCCGAATTTTTTGAAACTGCATGGATTTGCATGAAAATTTAGAATAAGGCTCATCTTAGGCTCAAGTTCAAAAGTGACATAAGCCCGATTGACGCTTTTTGTTTTTTAGGGGTAAAAACTACCACTAAGTGAAAAAAATTGAAAAAATTAAGTTTTAAGCATTTATTGATAAAAATCTTGTTTAAACACAATGTTTAAATAATGTTCCATGTTCTCGAATATGTTTTATGATATATTTGATCATTTCGCCCCTTTATTTAACCCTTAAAAACTACCCCTATGCAAAAAATAATGATAAAAATTAGTAAATATGTTACCTTATAGCTAATAAAAGAATTTTTCCTTTTCAAATCCTAAAAACCACCTATGTATTGACAAAAATGATAAAAAATTACTTTAAAAGCTTGGGCTTTAACGGTGCAATTATTTAAAATAAAAATTTCCTCATTGCTTATGAAACAATTTGTATCTCATAATACTTTTCAACTCTTATAAATCACCCCTGTGCTAAATAAATTATACAAAATTACGTTTTAAATCTTGAAATGCTATAATTGTGCAATAATTTAAAATAAAGATTCCCTTATATTGTTTATGAGAGAATATTTTACTTTTGCCATTTTCAACTCTTATTTTTACCAATATTAATGCAAAATATTTTTATTATAATCTATTTTTAAATATAATCAATCATAAAAAACCTATTTTGTTCCGAAAAGATGTAATTGTTCTTTTTTTTCCATAACTCGGTTAATTTTGAAGCTATAGTATCCTACAAAAAAGCATTTTAAAGATAATTTCAAAAGCAGTAAGATCGTTTGCATATAAAACCTTTTAAGTCCTTCGTTTTTTAAAGGGAAAGGATCGAAGGGCTCGAGACAGATCGTTTTTTCACTAAAATGGATACTTCAAGCGGCGATATGTCTTTTATTTTTTATGCTATAGAAATAAAGAAAAGCAAAATACTTATTTGTTGAAAAAAAAGCTACACTTTTGTTGTCTATTATTTTTTACGTATCTTTTATAGTTTCAGAGTTATTATATAATTAAGGCAATTTTTTTTGAATAATGAAAAATACCTTTCAGCTTTTACAGTTTTCAGCTTTTATCGTACATTATTAAAAAAATACGCATTCTAAACCGGTCTAACTTCAGGATCGTATGAAAAACACTAAAACAAAACTAAAGAGTCTAAGATTAATTTTAATTCTAATGGAAATGGTACAGAGTTTACTGCTAATTTTTCCTTAAAAAATATGAGCAACCCATCTGTTTCTGACGATAACTCCTTCAATTTTGCTCTAAATAACTTTTATAAGTACTCATTTTGAAGATCTTTTTTGGTACTACAAAAAACTCCTGGTGCATTATACACGTAAAATTAATCCCTTTTCCGTTATTTGACGTTGAATATATCGATTCGAGTATTATCCCCAAAACAAGTCCTCTTCCACTAACCATTTCGCTTTGTATAGGACGTACAACACTATTTAAAAAAATTTCTTTGTTTATTTACAAGCTACATTTTTGTTCATTACACTTTTTTAAATAAAATGCATGGTTTTTTGAGTTATTCGCGAAAAATACTTTGAAAAGCTGTATTGATTTCTCGAAAAAATTCTTCGAATATTTGTTGCTCAAAATTTGATTATCTATGGATTTCCAGCGTTATTTTTGAAAAAAATTTAAGCTCCCGAGAAGGGGTGTCAATCCCCAACAGGGTGGAAGCGTCAATCGGCGCTATGTCACTAATGTTCATTGACCTTTTCTCTAACTATCTGCCAAATTTCAAGTCGATCGGTTCAGTTTCAAAGAATTCGGAGGTGAAAAGCTTCAATGACTGTACTAAATTAATAACTGTGGTTACCGTAACATCTTCAAAGTAGAGCAATAATTTTGAATTTCAATTTTATTCTGATATTTTAAGATAAATCGAATAAAATCTATTTGGACCGTCTGTCGTAGATAAATTTTAAATGATACACGTTCGATGTGAACTTTGTTAATAAAACTGGTGTAACAAAATTACTCGTGGTTTAAGGTTACACGCGTTTCATTCTAGTCTTCATATCGAACTAGTATCATTATTATTATCGGTTTCATTTATATGTTTTTTTAGAAAACGATACGAAACTTTTCAACATTTTGAAGCTTACTTCATGAAGGAATAAGTTTTCAGGACAATACTACAGATAGATATGCAGTATTTGAAAACTCATACAATTAAGTAAACACGTCATCTCTGTTTGTCCATGGCCTAAAATGCCCATTCTCCTTTGTCTAACAATTTGCTAACATTTTTACAGAATGGTCCAAAATTTGCATAACGTCAATGGTGTTTGTAAAGTACAATATAAATTTTATTTATTGGGCTTAAATATATTCATTTGAAGGACTTCTTATAACACAGCCACACAAAAAAAAGTTGTCTGTACTTTTCATGCGACATATGTTATCCGTAGTATTTTTGCCTCCTGGTCACGAATCCGGTGTCAGAATCTGCTATTTCTTGAAAATTTGGTCGGCCATCTTAGATCCGCCATCTTGAATTTTGCAAAATTGACCTCGGATCCGTGATCAGCGACCCCGAAAGTCACCCTATACCAAATTTGGCGCAATTCTGTTATTTTTTGAAAATTCATGATATCTGACCGTGATCGTGAATTGACCCGTTTTTTTTAGGTTAGAAAAAGAACCATCAATTCTGACCGCGGATTCACGTTCGGCAGGGTCTTAACTATATAAACGAACATTTGAATATAGAAAAAACATTTTTTTGTACTTTTCCTAACACTTTTTCGTAAATTTTTGCTATTTTTGACCTGTTTTCTGAGGTTAGGAAATTCCTGTGATGTGATAGCTCAATTCTGACACCGGATTCGTTATCAGAAGGCAAAAATACTACGGATAACATATGTCGCATGAAAAGTACAGACAACTTTTTTTTGTGCATGGCTGTGTAAGCATTTCTTTATTTCCACTAATTTTGCTTCTTCTGACTTCTTTATTTAAATTGCTGTAGTCTGTAGTTTGTCGGATGGTATAGAATGTTGTTATATTGACTATCCCATTTTCATTGCATCCCATGTATCATCCATTAGTCTAACCGATTATCTTTAACTTTTCCTTGTAGTCGACGATTGTTATTTTTTCTGATTCAATCAACTTCTTACTATGAATAAATTACCTAGACGAAATTTTCGGTAATAAAAAATAAAACTAAGATACTTAACAATATTTTATTGTTTGCCTATTTTTTTGCGGATTTTGAAAATTGCAAAGCAATTTAAAAAATACGTAGCAATACGAAGAACATGGAATTCAATAAGCGAGAATAGATTCCAAACAAGTATTTTTAGTTTAAATGTGATCTAAATATTAACAAATTTGTCCCATGAAGAATGAAGAAGTTCTAATGAAAGCTATTCGGTTGTCAAATTTCAGGAGCGTTTGTCGAGTCGAAATGCTATTCAGTAGATGGTTTTTTAACTAAAGGTGAAGCAGTTTGATTGTCTGTTTGCATACGGCCGCTGAAACTTTTAACTAAAGGTGAAGCTGTTTGATTGTCTGTTTGCATACGGCTGCTGAAACTTTTAACTAAAGGTGAAGCTGTTTGATTGTCTGTTTGCATACGGCCTCTGAAACTTTTAACTAAAAGTGAAGCTGTTTGATTGTCTGTTTGCATACGGCTGCTGAAACTTTTAACTAAAGGTGAAGCTGTTTGATTGTCTGTTTGCATACGGTGAAGCTGTTTGATTGTCTGTTTGCATACGGCCGCCGAAAGATTGATATACTTCAACTGTGGGTTTGAAGATTGGGAGACGAGGCTGAACGAACTCGGATCTTTGTGTTCCTTGTGCGGGATGCTCTACATCTTCTCCATCGCAGACGAAGTTGTGTTTCCTGTCACACGACGCATCATTCCACCGTCCACCTGCGTCCATGCAGATGCAGTCTTCCTTACCGGACAAGTTGTCTGGCTGACCCGGTGCCCAACTGGTAAATTCAACTGGTGACTTGTCAACCCATGCCCATTTCCCGTCTGGTTGCCTCGTACCTGACGTCCAGTAGAATTCGAGGTCTATCGGGCCTAAACAACATAGGATTTTAGTTTTACAATATATGTCATATTTACCTCTTGCAAATGGACTAGCTTAACTGTAATTATCCATACATTCATATTTAAATAATTTGAAAACGTTAACATAAATTTATTTTCCCAAAATCTGCTGTAACCAAACATGAGACAGAGACCTTTATTAGGCAAATGAGGAAGAGGCAGTATTGCATATAGTATAATTTTTTTTCTTCATGGTATAAAAGCGATGTTGCGACAACTTTTGAAGAATGGTTCGATACAAAAAAGCGTCCAATATTCCAGATATGAATTAGTATAGTTGAATATTTCCAAATAAAGTAGTGAAATTTTAACTATTTAAATTGGGCTTTTCGTGGCGGTGCATTATAATCCCGTACAAACAGGAATGTTGTAATACCGGTATTTAATATTTTTTGTATTAAAAATTAATAAAATTTGACATTTTCTATGTTTAAAATTTAAAGACTAGACCTAAATTAGATATTTACTTTAATTTAGACTCGACAATTCCTAGTTTTAAAGTTTTTTCTTTTTTTTTTTTTTTTGATGAGTGGATTATAAAAACTGACTGTTGCAGATTAAAATTTATATTAAATTAAAATATTTTTTGTCTGACATGTAACAATACGAAAAAATATTTCAATCAAAAGTTGCGTTAAATATAATTTTTGCATGTTTTCTATTATGAAGTGTGTCCGTTACTTTAGGCGTTGCATTATTTCATTTCTTAATTAGCGCATTTTTGAATTTCCGACTGGCTTTAAGTCGTATCGTTTTGATGTCACTATAATTTATACATATTAGTTATTATTATTATTATTATTTTCGCCTCTACCCCTTAGGTAGAGGCGAAAATTGCCCTTAAACTTTAAATGGCCGCTTTTTCAATTCTGCTCACAATGACATATGACTTTTTTATTTTGTTTTGAATATGACAATAAAATCATCACTAGACATTGAGGAAGTATTGGAAAATGATAACGATTTACCAGAAGAGGATGTGCGGTTTCAGCAGGACGGTGCTCCATCACATTATGCTGTAGCTGTGCGTGATTTTCTTAATCAGAAATTTCCATATTACTGGATAGGACGCAGAGGTTAAATTGAGTGGCCTTCCAGATCGCCAGATCTAACGTCCTTAGACTTTTTTCTATAGGGACGATTAAAGTCGAGAATTTATGCAACACGACCGAACTCACCTGAGTTGCGTCGTCGTCGAAATGTTCGTTTGGAAGTGGGGCAAAGATTGTTCTATGAAAATATTTAATAAAATAAGATTCTTTCATTCATCAATATTTTATCTTATTCTTTAAGTAATTATTTCATTGTCATATTCAAACCAAAATTTAAAAAGTCGTATGTCGTCGTGAGCAGAATTGAAGAAGCTTTAAAATGAGGTGTCACTCAACATAGGGTGCCATGACGTGTCTGTTTTTTTTGTTTTTTTTAATTCCGATATTTTCCAGGTGAGAAATTTTGATTGAAACACCTTATATGTTTGAAATGCTGTTAATTTAACATTTTTTCGATCATACCTAATATATTTTCTTACTTTTGAACATGCTTAAATATTCAAGGAGATATAACTATTGATCAGTTTCCAGATTTGGACTTATTCAAACGGTAATAAATATTAGCCCCTTCTAGACAACATTATTTGTGCGTTGTAACCAAATGTAATAAATTTACAAAATTTACAAAAAGGACCATATAAATTTGACAGCATATTGAATACGTATACTTGCAAACATTTCTAGACATCTGGTACGCATCTTTTCGGGACAACTAGAAGGGAAAAATCGATATTTGTTCTTCACTGGCTTCTCAGGTATAGTTCTTCCGAAGTCAGTTGAACATGCATAAAAAACCGAGCAATCAAATTTAATGCGTTTCATGGGCGTTCTTAAAAAAGTTTACATTTCTATCACTTGCACTTTTCGTTCGACCAGATCTGTATATGGGTAGGTAGTCCAAGCATTCTGTCACGGATTAATGTTAAATTTGCAAAAATTATCACATGGACAAAAAAAATATGACCGTATAGAAAATTAAATTTTGAATTGAGTTTCTCGATCCAAAATGGCGAACATGCAAAAAACGATTTTTCTAAAATAACTAAAAAAATATAGCACCGATTGAAAAATTTTAAATGAGAAAGGTGTAGGTTTTAAAAAGATCTATCGACTGATTTTTTGTAAGTATAGATTGCTTTGTTACTTTTCGAGATATATCGAAAAAACCGTTAAAAATCTTCTCTTTTATCTACTTCTATAACTCGTTTACATCTACTTTCCATACTTACTATTTACTGCAAGCATAGCCCGCGGCAAGCCAAAAAAGTACATTTTTGAAAAATTTAAAAATATTAATTATTTTTCGAGATATACCGATTTTTCGAAAAAAAAAGGCGCTCTCGAAAATTGGCTAGATCTTCTCAGCGGATAGCCCTACAGTGACGATTTTTGGTTTATTTTCTTCGTAAAGAGTTATATTATGATGCGGTTAAAAATGTTGACGATTTTATTAATTTTAAGGATCAAAAAATGACTTAAAAAGTTGCACTTTTTAGGGTATGTTTTTTTCAAATAACACTTTTAATTTTTATGATATGAAAATGACTTTTAAAGAAAGAAACTGCTGACAATTTTTTCACGAATTTAAAAAAAAAATGTTTTTCTACGACCTGGAGCCGAGATAGTTTTTTATTTAAAAAAAATTTGGAGGACGCAATTAACATTTTACAGCGATGCGCTTGATGGAGGTTTATATTGAATACTTATATTTAAAAAAAAATAGTAGGATATATTTACTTGATTTTTAGTATTAGTAATTGAGTAATAAACTCAAGTGTGCAGGCGCTGACCAAAAATCGTCACTGTATGCCGATCCGCTGAGAAGATCTAGCCAATTTTCGAGAGCGCCTTTTTTTCAAAAAATCGATATATTTCGAAAAATAATTAATATTTTTAAATTTTTCAAAAATATACTTTTTTGGCTTGTCGCGGGTTATGCTTGCAGTAAATAGCAAATATGGGAACGTAAATGTAAACGAGTTATAGAAGAAGAGAAAAGAGAAGGTTTTTAACGATTTTTTCGATATATCTCGAAAAGTAACAAAGCAATCGATACTTATAGAAAATCAGTCGATATCTCTTTTTAAAATCTACAACTTTCTCATTTAAAATTTTTCAATCGGTGCTATATTTTTTTAGTTATTTTAGAAAAACCGTTCTTTGCAACTTTGCGATTTTTTTTAACCATGTTCGCCATTTTGCATCGAGTTTAAAGAACAAGAAACTCAATTTAAAATTAAATTTTCTATACGGTCATATTTTTTTTGTCCAGGTAATAATTTCTGTAAGCATTTCTCTATAATAATGCTTGGACTAATGGCTAAATAAATGTGGGAATAAGTTTTTCAAATATTTCAATGCCGAGTTGCTGCTTAGGGACCGAGCCTGGTACATACCTTGAAGATATTGGTTCTTATTAATTTATTAATAATATAATTAATAATATTTCATATTAATTATTAATATGAAATGGTAAAATCATTCCTAAAACGTTTTCGAGATGCAGGAGGGGGGTTGAACCAACAAAATAGCAAGTACCTAAGGAAAGAGACGCAATTTTTGCCCTTTGAATTGGAAAATAAAGTGATAACAAGCCTTCCGAAATCAAAATGAGCGGGCAGTGAGATCCCCGTAAGAGCAGTTCTCCTTGAGTTTCCAGACAGTCCGGTCTATTTAACTTTAGAGTCTCTGGATTAATTTGTTAATGGGTCTTGATTCCAAATTCGTTGTGTTATAGTTGTTTTGTTTGTTTCATTTAAGAAGTTCTGGTGGTTTCTTGTTCTTTTTAAATTAAGTGCCCATTGAGCAAGAGTGTAACACCATGTACGACCAACCCATGGATTAAATGCTACGTGAGCAAATGAACGGTAATTCACTCTCTGAACGTACAATATTTCTAAGTTCCCACATAACATAATTAAAGTGTAAATGATATAATCGATGAGCCTCCTTTCGCAAATTGCGTGCGGTATTGTTCATAACGATAGATAGAGAAATAATAATTTGGATCGTTCTAAAACTTCCATTGAGGAAAAACCTAATACCTAGTCAAATTGTTTATATTTTGGAGAAAAAGTCAACGATAAAAATAATATGATAGCGTATACTGTTCTCCTCTATTAGAATATCCCAATTGTCATTGATCAAAATGTTATTGAGAGAGAGAGGGAGAAAGACTTTTGACTTCTGGTAAAGGCTTCTTTTCTCATTAAAATTGTATATCCTTTCGATTTAGCTAAATTAACTTTTGAAAGCACCAATAGTACCAAATGTATCAATGAATATGCTGTATTTATCTACATATAGGACTTTCTTCTTCAGCATAAATAGGACTGAAAACTACAAAAATTGAAATTTGTGCCGATTTAGGACTAATTTCAAAGAAAACAATTTCTTTCTAGTCGACGTTTTCTTTGCAAGTATAATACTACAAATGTAGTGAGTGATTCTTTTTATAGAAATTGTTCCTATATAATTTTTTTTAATTTCTCATTGTTGCGACAAACAACTACTCCGAGGGCTATATGCTCCAACCGGCATTGAATTATACCCGCAACACCTAGTGCAACAGCTACGATCGTTCGCCAGTTTAACCCACCAGACACAGACCGGTTTCGGACTTATTAGTCCTCATCAGTGTGCCATAGGTGAGACAACCGACGGTCTGTGTCTGGTGGATTAAACTGGCGAACGATCCTAGCTGTTGCACTAGGTGTTGCGAGTATAATACAATGCCGGTAGGGGCATATAGCCCTCGGAGTAGTTGTTCCTCTCAACACTGACAAATTGAAACATTGTCTTCGCCCTCTGTGGGTGGCAGTCGTGCAACAAGTACTTGCAATATAGCAGGTCGCTTCCTACTGTAGCCATTTGAATGGCACAGTTGGGAGTCAGCACGACAGATGAAGCCACTTGCGCTCCCGCGTACAATGTTCCTATATCAATTATTTGAAAATTCAATATTAAAGACTACATATCCTCAATGTTGCAATTAATTAATATCTTCTCATAATTTTGTGCAGTTAAGTCACCAATCTGGTATATTTATTTTTGCTAAGTTGCATTATATTAAAAAAAATCACAGCAAATCTTGAAGTTCTAAATCTTGTTAATTAGAAAAAATTTTTATAACTTTTTTAATATTAAGATTATTGAAAAATCTTCTTCTGCAGGTCGACAACTCTAAATATTTTCCAAAATCATTAAATGGAGGTTTTCCTGGACTTGATTAAGGTGACATTTTTGTCACATTTTTATTTAATTTTTCAAAATATAAAAGGTATGATAAATTTTCTAGGTGGAGTTTGTTCTCAATTTAATAAAAACTGCGTAACTAATAAAAAATCATAAATTAATAAAAAAAAAAGATATTGAATTTTCGAAAAACTTGTACTATTATTTTTATGGGATAAATCATCCTCCATTTTTCTTTTGACATTATTTGTGATTGCCTTGTTGACATCCGCACAGCACCCTCTTAAAATGCACAAGTTCATTAGTGCAAAATGTATTGTTTTCGTTATTATACATTTTTTGCATTAGATATGTCAAAACGAAACCTTGAGTTCGACGAAAGATTGATAAGTAAGAATATTGTTTTTGAAATTAAGTCTATCTTCCGACTATTGACTACAAATTCAACAATAATGTTTCTAGGATCCGTGCTTTCCACAAAATTTATTTGTTTGTTTTCAGTTTCTCTACTAGTGATTTAAGGATTAAGATGTTAATAAAAAAATTAACATTTTTCAAACATTTTATTGCATGCACTAGTTGTTATAATTGTAACAAATTCATAAAAAAGAACTAAACGTAAAACAAGCCAGAACAAAATAAGTATTTTTACTTGAAAACAAATAAATCTTGTAAGAAACCATAGTTCCCAGAGTCGGGATGGATTGCAAAGATTTTGTTACACTTTTACTGAAGCTTTGGTTGTACGAAAACCGTAGATAGAATAAATCTTTGGTTACTCGGTTGTCAAATTTTGGATGCCGTTTGCGAGTAAAAATACTTATGTTATTCCTTGGTTACAGGGGCTGTTAGGTTTTTACCCGACCGACTAGCGATGGATATCTGGATGTAAGGTTTATCGAGGTCGATGTGGTGCGAATTCTCTAATTCGCAGATGAAATCATTATCTCTGTCGCAAGCCGAGTCATGCCACAAGCCCTTGTTATCTATGCTGAGACAAAGTCCGCCGGTACCAAAGCCATCTGGCCTTCCTTTAGCCCAATTTCTGTACATTACAGGGGAATGGTCGCCCCATACCCAACCTCCAAACGGCAGTCTCTTTCCTGCCGTCCAGAAGACGTCAGTGGCTTCCCCTAAACAACAAATAATATTTAAATTTTCTCTAAATCTAATTCATCTTGTACTGTTCCCCCCTGTCGACCATGTTTAAAGAACCTACTTCAAGAATGTTGAAACGTTAGTTGTTGTCAGATTGAACATGTCACAACCCTTGTAATTTTAGGGATACAGAATGAAAATGACATAACATATTGCCAAAAAGAAAGAAACAATAATAAAACAAGAAAGTCAATCTAATATAGCCAGTATGAATGGACAATTAGGACTATTGTGAACAGTTTTATGAAACAAAATTTAGGAAAATGTAATTGGGAAACTACACTAAGGATACTCCACGGGTGGAGTAAACATCATCTAAACATCTAAAATGTAGCAGTTTAAAAAATCGTCATTGATTAATGACGCCAACAATGAATTAGGCCAACAAAGTATGCAAGATTAATGTTACGTTTCTCAGCAAATTATCATGCAGTCGCCTACAGTCCACTAAGATTTTGAGAGTGTTGAAAATATTCAGGTCATCAGCATAAAGCTAATAAAGTACATCTATTGCACCAGTATAGGTCCAGAACGGCACTGTTAATCATTATAAGCAACGTATCGATACAGAAGGAAAACGACACAATCACAATAACAGACGACAATATCAAATTAAGAAATGAGTTATAAAAATTAGTGTGGTTATAAAAATATAATTTAAAATTTTATTATGGTCTGTTTTCTATATTATCTATAAGTAGCGTACTCAGCTGTTCAAGGGGACGTATATGTAGAGGACGAATAAATATTTAATTAAAAAAAAAACAAAAACTCAACACAAATTTGGTGCGTAGAGTAAATAAAAGAGGAATTCTACCAAACATCAAAATACTTTATCAAATTACTTTAACATTCGTCTTTCAAAACTGTACAGTCCTTTAACTAATGACATTGTACTCTGTGCTGAGCTGTCTTTCGACAAAAGTCTGCAGAAGATTCTATGGCTAGAAATAATAACGTAATGAGTTAGAAATTTATGAAAAGGAAGATTGCGATTAATACTTAAATTCACTTACCGTGTCTTAAAAAAAGCGGTTACGAACATTCGCTGGAAAACCCAGAATTAAATATGAAAAATATAATATCAATTGAGAACAACACATCTTAATCCCAAATTTTTAAAAACTAACAAGTTGATCCTATCACGCTCGCATTGGTTATTTTCAGTTGTTCAGTGCGTTATTATAATAATTTTAATCTATTGTGAATATTGTATGGTAATAATGAACAGCGCCACCTATTGAAAATTGTTAAAACTACTTTCTAAACCTTTCCGGTAATGTTTCGAACATAACCCTTAAATCTGAGTATTTGAGTTTATAAGTGACGTACAGACTAACTTTGATTTTATTTAGATAGAAGATAACCAATCATTTTATTAGGTATAAAAACGTGGTAATATAACACAACAATTTTGTCTTCTTTCCATTTAGAACAAAAAATTTCCAATGTATTTCATCGCCATTAATATTTTATTTATTACCAGTGATATTGAATATTATTAATACCAAGTGAATTAAAACCAATTCACGTAGAGATAAAAAAATTATATATAGGCTTCGATATTTTTATACTACTATCTCAGTTTATAATAAACTCTAAATGTAAGTTGTCTAGCCATATATCATTTATTTATGGCTAGACAACTTTATATTGCAACTCGAGATAAGTTTTTGTATATTTCTAATTAATGTTCTTACCAGATCTTCCAAGGAAGCGAGTAACTATGTCGTTAGTCCTTCGATCCTTCATACTTATCAACTCCATTCCGTGATCTCGACATATTTTGGCAGCTTGCTCTGGGTTTGTCTGAAAATAACATCTAATTTAGAATAGCACCAAGAACAATTTAGAATACAGTGCCTCCCAGAAGTAACGCAAAAAATTCATATTTCATTTTGTGTTGAGTTTTCACAAAAACGCTAAAAGACGTCAATTAGTAAATTAGAATTGTCGTTTTGTCACGTTGCTTAAACCTTTTTTACGCTATGTTTCATAAACCTATGACGTCATCGACATTTTTTTTAAATAGCACCACCTAATTTTGTAAGCATAAATGGGTAGTCCTTTTGAAGGGAAATACGTCGATATAGGGTTTGGCCTACTTTACTTTGACAGGAGCGGAAAAAAAAGCCAATGACTGGAATTGACATTGTTTAAAATAACAAGAAAAGTAGGTATCATAAACTGATGCGAGAACAGTGCTACAGTATAAAATGGAAATTTGAGTATGTTTTGTGTTTTGGTTGATTGTAGGTATGTTTTTATGTACTGATATGTTGGCGTTTGCGGCGATACGACGAATGGCAAGGTGTGGATTTTCAGTGACAGCTAAACATAACATTTTGCCTATCATTTTCTGTCACTGTCGTTGGCCTTCTAGATCTAGACACATTTCTAACATGGCCAGCGTCTTCAAATTTGAGTACTAATCTGCATACTCTACACGGAGGTATTAATTGTTCTGGATACTTGGCATTGAATAATTGACATATTTCATCATAACTGCGGATCCTATATCTCCGTATTCAACCATAATTAGGATATCAGTTCTTTGTTTCTCATTTAAACACAACACCATCGTAATGTTAAGTTATGGTATTTGTAACTGTGACAATGATATGAGGCACTATTGCATTCGCTAACTGTCGTCTTCAGAACAAAGCCTACATAGCCACTGTGATCGCGTGTACCTACCCAATCTACATAAAAACATGTGCCAACAATCAACCAAAACAGATTTTTTGCTATAGCACTGTTCGCGCATAAGTTTGTGATACCTATTTTTGTTATTAATTCAAACCATGTTCATTCCAATCGTTGGCTTTTTTCGCTCCTGTCAAACTAAAGTAGGCCAAACCCTATATCGACGCATTTCCCTTCAAAAGGGCTATCCATTTATGCTTAAAAAATTAGGTGGTGCTATTTAAAAAAAATGTCGATGACGTCATAGGTTTATGAAACATAGCGCAAAATAAGGTTTAAGCAACATGACAAAACGACAATTCTAATTTACTAATTGACGTGTTTTAGCGTTTTTGTGAAAATTCAACACAAAAGAAAATATGAATTTTTTGCGTTACTTTTGGGACGCACTGTATATTTGACGAGATAATTAAAGCTGTATTATTTTTAATTTTAATTTGACCCAGGTATTAATAATAATCTGTTCGTTTTGAAAAACTAATAGATTACGAAAGTAGTAAAATGGACTCCATTGACTGATGAAAGTTATCTTTTATTATATTTTCATGAAGGTACCTAAGAGTTTAATTTCTTATGTTAACTCTAAAATATATTTAGTCTCATTTGGAGTACCTCAAGGAACAGATATTAGTTACAGTTACATCAGTGATAGATATGTTTGTTAACGATTTAAAAACAGTAGTTGTTTAAATATTATTTTCTCTCTCACCTTGTATCTAACAGCCATAAACTTTCTGCCATCTTGTGTCCACTCGGTCATAGATATTTGAGAATGCTGCACCACTGCAACAGAATAATTACAGTTACGATTTGTGGACAACTAATTCAAAATACTTGGAAGAACGTTTTAAGTTTTTCTTACTTACTGGTTTCGAACGTAATCAAGCCAGGAGTTAAGCCTCCAACCATAACTGGACCTCTATTACCACCTCCTGTGGTATTAAACGATTTGATTAGACCTAACATTTAAAATAATACCTATGTGAGCATCTCAATACTGTAAGATTGAAAGCTGTTATGTTGTGATGACTATCAAAAAGCTTACCACTGTGTAAATTAGAGAAAATGTTACTAGATTCATCCCCTGGTTTAGTTATTTGGATAGATCCATTTAATAAAGGTCCCAACATTCCTAGAAGAAAACATTTTTAAGTACGTGTGCTCAATATGTATCTGCATGTTTAGATGATTTCGAATTAAATTTTCTAATTAATTAGTAACTGTCTAAACCAAGCGATATTAGTGTTTAGTGGGTCGCTGATATGTATGGAAACGGTCAGTTATCTCCTAAAGTAATATTGCTATCAAAAATCATAAGACATAAACGATTTAGGGTTTTTTAAAAATTAAGCATACAGGATCAGACAAAAATTCATGAAGAAACAAAGTTGCTTTCATGAAACATCCTGTATTCCTTTATTCCATACTTTAATTCTTCTCGAAATTCTAAACAAAATTCCTATAGCACCTCATGTACCTAAACTTTTTTCGAGATATCGAATTTTAAATATCATTTTCTTATAAACTACACAAAAATATTTTAGTACATTAAGTTTATAGTTACTTTTGAAAGTTTCTAGCATTTAGTGTGAATAATTTTCTGGCTAAAATGTTTAAGTGAAACCGAGCATACTGAAATTTTGATCATAGGATATGGTGATAGAAGGCGAAGTTGTGACGAAGTATTGGATATTTTTCATGAATTGCATCCCGATCAGGAATGTCTTTCTAAATCAACGGTAGGTATTGGTCAGACCAAAATCCACATTGTATGGAGGAAGTTCACACCCAACGACCAAAGTAAATGTTTGGTGTGGCATTGTTGGCGGACACGTCATAGAACCCTATTTTATAAGCAAAAATTTGACCTCTGATATAACAACTTCTGCAATAACATATTATTCCAGAGTTTAGACGATTATTCCGAACAATAATTATTCCAATTTACCGGAAGGACAAGCATGGTATCAACATGATGGGGCTCCTTCTCATTTTGGACGTATGTATAATACGTCTAGATAAAACTTTTCCTGATAAATGGATTGGACGCAGAGGAGCAATTGAATAGCCAGCTAGGTCTCCCGATATGATCCCGCTTGAATTTTTTCTTTGGGTTCACATAAAAACTGTAGTCTACAAAAATAAGTATAAATATTGAAGAGTTGAAGGAAAGGATAAGGCATGAAATTTCCACACTTTTAGATTCTCTATAAAATATTGTTCAGCAAATTTATTACTGTTAGGAGGTAAACGGTGAACCCTTTGAGCATCTTATAAAATAGAATTTCAAAGAAAGTATTTTTGTTATTTATTAAAGCTTATTTTCTCTCTTTTTTCTCTGGCATAACTATTGTTCTCAAAATTTAAAATATCCAGAACTTTCATTAAAAAATACATTTTTTCGTTTCATGCATTTTTATCAATGCCGAAGTATTTACTATGCTTTTTTATTTTCTGTAAAAAAACTAGTAATAAAATTAAATCATTTCCTTACCCTCCATCTTGCGTTATTTCAAAATAAATATCCATAGTTTGGGACCCTTCTTCTTCTACAAATTTGAAAGTGGTAAAAAGTTAAAACTTCACAATTCGATATCTCGAAAACGGTTAATTTAGGTACATGACGTGCTATATGAATTTTGTTTAGAATTTCGAGAAGAATTGAAATATGTAATAATACAAAGGTTGTTCCATCCAAAGAAAAAGCAATTTTATTTCGTCATGACTTTTTGACTGATCATGTATACTTATTTTTTTTTTACTGTAATAGATTTTAAACAACCCTAAAATGGTTGTGTCTTATAATCTTTCGATAGTTATCTTACTTTAGGACATAATCGACCGTTTCCATAAATATCAGCGACCCTGTATATTATTATTCTCATTGTGAAATAAAAAGTAAATGCCAACCAACTTGAAATTTAATTTGAACATTATTTAGAGATATTTTTTAACTTACCAACAAAGGAGTTTGAACCGCTTGGATAGGTTCTGTTATTTCCACCTAAAAATCTCAAACAATTAGTTTACTAGGAGTAAACAAGACAAACAAAATAAATATTGCCACGTTCCATATTAGTTAAACCTAGTATTCTTTGGTGAATTTTAAGTCTTTCAGTTAATTTTTAAGTTTTACTCGAAAATCAGACTTTTTCGAAAAACATAAGATAGTATTAATTTGTAGAAAATTTAAAGGCGAATCCGAAAATATCATAGCTTAAAGCAGTGGCGTACTATTTTATTTAGAAAAATATGTCAGCGATACCCTGTATTTCCGCCACTGAAGCATTTAAATTTTAGAAAAGGCCTCAGATTTTGCACAATGTTTACATAAATACGTGTGCCCAATTTCAAATTATTTCATTACTATTTTTTAAATTATGTATTAAAAAAAATTTAAAATATTTTGTGAAGTTTAACACCCTGTATCTTTTTAACGAAGCGTCCTAGATAAAAACTTTATAGGAAAGACTCCCCTTAAAATTCACCAAAGAATACGAGGTTTCATTTTTGGTCACCATTTGTGAATCACCCTGCACAGGGTGTTAGCAGGTTGACTGCCTTACTTTTAACAGACAATAGAATACATTAAAATAAAAAAACCTTATATGACATGGGTCCTAAATTCAACTATTTCCGAGAAAAAAAAAATATCAGTCTCCAACTTGATGTACAAAAGTTCGATTCAATTGAGGAATATTGACATAACTGCGTGCATAGAATACCATAAAATACAATGTTTATCACTTTTTTGAACTTCTCTATAATAAATTTAAATTTAATAAAATTCATATCGAGCAATGTAACAACGGCGCGGCGATTATAATAACATGAGGTACTAAGCTGTCCAACAATACACAATTCAGTTGGTATCTGGATTCGACCGTGTCGGAGTGTTTTTTGCGTACCACTATTTCCTTTAGTGGAGGGGTTTTCCAGGCATTGCGCGAAAATTGGATTCGAAAGTGTCGTGTATTAATCGAATATGGCATTTTAAGCATATGTTGTAGTTTGTTTTGTACTTGTGCGTTTAAAAATCCCTGAATTTTACTTTTTGGTAAGTACCTACCTAAATTATTTTTAATGCGTATGAATATTTGGATGACGTGAATCTTTGGGTACTTTAATTACATATTTTTCAAATACATAATTTGATTAAAAGTTAAGTTTCCGTATTAAGAGATTTATAACTACTCTTTAGTAAGCTTAAATTTAAACACAACAATATCTTCGTACTACAAAATCGATACATTTTATTTTATATATTTAAAAACTGGAAAACAATAGTCTTGAAATTTATTAAATGTTTCATAATAGTAGTTGTTTACATTTTTTCCATAGGACAAGTCTGCCGCGTGCAAACGTGGTGTGCATCAGCAGGTTAAGGGCTGTTGTCACGTTGTGATGAAACTCCCCAATTAATACTCGCTGTATTATGAACTGTTAATCTTACGCCCCTGTAACATACAACTTTTTTGTTCATTTACTTGTTCATATTACTCTCATGCATTTTTTGTTCATATTACTCTCATGCTGAAGATGAAACTTCTTACACCCTGTATAACGTCGTTGAAGAAACAATACCGCCTAAGTACAAAAATTTCAACCAAATGACCAAAAAACTGCTTAATGAAAACTTGGTCTAATTTTAGGTTCTTACCATCAAAACAACCATAAAATTATTATTTCAATAATTGCTAACTCCTCAAAAATACGGTATTAGACGATGGAGATGCGCGCTATTTAGGTGTTTTGTGGGAAAGGATATGTCTATTAAATGTCTTTAAAATGTTATTTTTTTCAATAATTACTCAACTTTATACCTGCAAATACAAGATAAAAATATAAAAGAGATACATAATTCAAAATTTGTTTTGTTAATATTTGCCTTTAGGAATATTACTTACCGGGGCCTTGCGGACTAATAGTTAAACGACTATCTTCTGCCCTTCCTGATTTAGGTACTGCTGAAACAAATAAATTGTGACAATATTGTAAAGATTCATGTGTTTCAACTTACCCTGATCCTTATACATATTAAGAAGAAGTTCACCATCTTCCTCGCTGTCAGTTTCATCTTTTACTGAAAAATTCAGAAGGGTAACTTTCTCCGTGACTGTTTAATATTTTTTTTTTACTCACCATACTTAATTTTAGGTGGAGTAGGACGATTGGGAAGTGTGAGTTGTTGTCTTTCAGATGGATATGCGTCCTGTTCCTCTGAGGGTTCATCTTCTGAAAAATTAGTGGGATTAAAATTTTAATTCGATTATTTACTAACGCTATCAGAATTTGTTTGTTTTGACAGCCTCTCCGCCTTATAACATAAAGCATGTTGCAGTTAGTCCACCTGTTCTCAAAATTTTTGGTGCGCGTGTTAACCCGTCTATTAACGTTTCAATATATAAACTTTCAGATATATAAAAGTCCCTGTACATGAATCTTTTGGATATATCACAACCAATCAGAAAGATATCATTGAGGTGGGAGCATTCACCATTTCATATTATTCCGTCGTGGTGCGGAAAAATTCACATCCTCATTATCTCTTGAGATAGCAGCTTCCCAAGGAAAAGGCTTGTGACTCAACAGGGTGATATGTTAGTGAAAAAGATGGAAATGCTCAGAAGTTCACTCAGTTTGAGTCAGAGGCAATAGAAGTGGTCCCATGACATTCGTGTTGCTAGGGAAAATTTTGAGAAAAATATTGTGGAGAAAGGTCCTAAGCATTACATAAGTATACTAGAAGTCAACTGCAGACTGCTGTCAAAATCCCTATGGTAAAAAAATCCGATGGATCTATCTCTGTTAGTGATGTAGAAGCTGCTGAAGTGCTCAAATATGTTCCAGTCAGTATTTTATGTTGAACATTTTGGACCCTTTCCTCGTTTACCAAATCCACGTGTTGAAAATTCTTTAGAAAATATCTTCATTTCTGAAAAGGTGATATTAAAACTTCTAAATCGGCTCCGTACTGACTCCTCATAATGTAAACTGAACGCAAATAATTACAGACCAATAAATTTAATATCTGTCTGCATAAAAACCTTGTAACGTATCAAAAAGGAGCAACTTCTCAGCTACTTACTTGCCCACAACATTATCCCTGATACACAGCATGGTTTCCTTCTAGGTCGTTCTACCTTCACAAACCTTTTGTCGTCTGTGAACTCGAGGACACTATGAATAGATAAGGGATTTCGAGTCGACGTTTTGTTTGTTGATTTTGCTAAGGCGTTTGATAAAGTCCTAATAAACAGGCTACTGTACAAATTAGAACATAATGGAATACGGGGTCCATTACTTGCCTGGATAGATAGTTTTCTCGCAAATTGAACGTTTTCATTACGGGTTGGCAAATCACATTCGGAATCTCAAGGGTACCACAAGATTCTGTTCTGGGACCAGTTCTATTTTTGATATATACAGCCGACCTCTCGCTAAAGCTCAAATCGCAGCATGCACTGTATGCCGATGATACAAAGATATTTGGGAATGCACTGTAAGGCCATCATACTCTACAAGATGATATTATTTCCATCTAACCCTGGTGCTACGATTGGCTCATCTCACTGAATTTAAATAAGTGTACTGTTATACATATTAGTACAAACAATCCCAAGATAACATTTACTTTCGATCAAAGTCAACTTATAACAACTGTCGAAAACCAGAATGATTTAGATCAATTCCAGTCTAACCTGGTCTAGACATATTTCCGCCATGGTGAAAAGAAACCGTGTCCGTGTGAACATATCTTTACCTTACCTGGTAAAAGATATTAATCTGATAGAGAGCGTACAGAGAAGTGTCACAAAATGTATCACCAAATTTAGATTACTTCCATATCATCACCGTTTGGATAATTTTTACCGTTAGGTGTATAAGAATCTAAAAAATCATTTACGTGGTCATCAATTTAAATTGTCGAGAGAAAACTTCAAAACTTCTTCCCAAATATAGTGTTCAATCATTGGAATGATCTATCTTCATATGTGGTTATTGCCCCATCGGTCAACTCCTTCAAAAACAGGTTGGATGCGTGAATGTCATCAGAATTCTTAGTGAGTACGCGCCTAGTGTATATGATTCTCACAAAGAGCATACATGAACTTATGGGTATTATATAAAAAAATATAATACAATGAATTTCAACGATTTCAATTCCTGTAAAAATTTTCTCTGTAATTTATGTTTATATCCCTGTTTGTAATAGACAGAGTGATTTACAACTCAATCGGTATAGAAAAGGAGTGTGTAGAGAACACCAAAACAAAAAATGGCAGGAAAATTTTTATTTAATGAACAAGTTAATATGCTGTTAGTATTGCGGTTTTGTGAAAGTAATTGCCGTAGAAGTGTAGAGGAATATCGAAGAAGATTTCCTAATCGTATTATTCCAAATCATTAGATATTTGCCAATGTTGAACGAGGAGCTCGAGAAACGGGTTCTCTTTACCGCCGAAGAAATGTTGGTGGTCGCGAATATGCAATGAAAGCACGAAATAATACTCCTCCTGAACTACTGGGAGATTTGCCTTTACAATTACACCGTGAAATGTGATTTATGCATGATGGTGCGCCTCCGCATTTCAGTATGGATGTTCAGGAATTTTTAAACCAACAGTTGCCAAATCGATGGATAGGTCGTGGAAATAACTGCCCTCAACAGTGGACGCCCGTTAAATAAATGTGACTTTTTTCTTTGGGGGACTTTAAAGAATTTCTGTATTCGACTCCTGTTGAAACTGAGGAAGATCTATGGAACCGCATCAATAATAAATGCACTATTATAAAAAATGACATTCAATTATTGAATAGAGTAGACTTTGACTTTCGGCGAAGGGTTCATTTATGTGTTATGAGAAAATGGGAGCCGTTTTGAACAGCATCTTTAGTGCTAATTTTTTACTATTCCTTAATTAGTTTCATAGAAATAGTACTGATTGTTAAATTTTGCATTGAACGAAATGAATAAATAACTTAATAAAGTGACAATGTTTTGTTTCTTGTTTACAAAAAATCTTCAAAATTTGAATACCGACAAATTTAATCACGGCCTACTATTAAAAGTTTTTCCAAAAAATCGTTGGTCTAGAGTACCTTGGCAACCAATTTTATTTACTGCATGCATGTCTAAGTTAAGTCCTGGATGCTAAAGCCCACTTTTGTAACCTAGGTTTAAACTAGAACTAAAGTTTAACTTGCAGGTTTGACATAACAGTCCATTGTTCTGTCAAATCTAAAAGTTAAACTTCAGTTTGGGTTTAAACTTAGGTCATAAAAGTGGGCCTTAAAGCAGTAGTAGCATAGCCTACCCGCAATTATGAAATCATATATTTTTGTCCGATTTAATCGGTTTTGACTCCTATCACAAAATCGCAATTTTCTCAAAAACAGACGGTTCATCGAAAATTTGACAAGAATAAAAAAATGTAAAATTCAATTTGCCATAAATCTTTAATTGTAAATTAAGTTAGTGTTGAAAAAATTCATAAAATTTTAAGTGACTCACCCCTAAACCACCCTTTCTTATGATGCCGGTCACTTCAAGTTTCTACCAGCTAAATACATCAATAAAATAAATATATTTACAAAATGCGGTTGTTCTGTATTATGGCATTGCTGAAATATCGAGGTTTTTCGATTTTTTAAAGACATAGGTATCCTCAGGCCAATATCATCGCAACCGTAGGTATGCGAATAAAAATTCATATGAAAATCAATTTGCTTCGGTGTCCTCTACACGCACCTGTTCTATTTCCATTGAGTTGTGAATCGCCCTGAATTTACTCTTCTTACATTGCTACTAATATCGTATTTACTATTACTACTAACTGCTCCAGCTCAACTCATTTCCTTTTTGAGATGTTTTCTGTTGATCGATATCAGTAAAAAAATAATAATTCGAACTTACCGTCATTAGGATTTTCATCGTCACCAGGAATGATCGGGAAATCGGGAAGGGAAGGAAATCCGAGAAGAGATGGTTTAGTCTTGGCAGGTTCAGGTTTTCTTGGATCCAGCAGACTGCCTACAATATTCTTTTTGTAGATCGGGAATATAATCTCATTGACTTACCCATACCAAACATAGGTTTGAAAATGGTACTGAGCACATTTCCGAATGATTGGCCAAACGTCTCAGGTGGTTTATTTCCTCCAGGGGATCTAGCTTCTAAAAGTTACATTGATGTTAGTCTTTTTGGAGGATGATTCTTTATTTACGTTCTACTACTGAAACTAATTTCGTGATATTTTGCCTTTGTAATAATTTACATTGGATTAATTGGTATGAGGCTGCAGAACATGATTATAACTTACCAGAGCCAAGAGGAGATTTATCTGAAACGATAATATTTTACTTATATAACCTTTTACAAATTTTATAAAAATACAGGAATTCAAAGTCGGTTCAAACTTACCATTAGGTTTTTCACCAGTTGGCAGATAAATAAGTCCAGTAAGCACAGCATAGTTTTGTATGGTTCGGTTAAGACTATTAACACATTCTTCCCAGCTAACTGCAACTATAATCGTGGTATTTTGTACAAATGTATCTTCAGAAGAGAAAATATACATTTTACTTACCATTGTCACAGTCAAGACGATCCTTAGGAGCTTTAGTTCCTTTCGGATAAAGAAGTTTTCTTATGGCTTCTAACCAATTCTGTATTGAGATAACTCCATTTTTAAGGTCCTCTGTCTTGTATTTCGCCCGCTCTTCAGGATTTTCTAAAAAACAGCAGCATTATTTAAAAATATTTTTCTATAACAGCATTGCATAAAATGTTCCTATATACTTCAATGACAAAATATACTTACGAAGTATGTTAGTAATTGTGGAGATATAATCGTATAAGTGCTCCAAAAGAAGGGTAATATAATCTATAGTCTTTTGGTCAAGGTGTTTTACTGCCTCACTTTTTTCATTACCTGAAAGTAACCAAATATTTATTTGTTTATTTAGAAAATACAATATCCAACATACAATATCCAGTTACAGGGTAAGGTAAAACAGAAAACCTTAACTAAATTTAAAAAGAAAAAGACAAACTAATATTAAATATAAAAATATAAGTACTACACAAAATAGAGCAATCATTATAAAATCCAGACAAAAGAATTTAAGTATAAACAATAATAGGCAAATAAAACAAATAAGCTAACTAACAAGAGAAGGATTACATTTGCTAGACAAACAATTTTTTTATGTCATTCATATAATCGATCTTCATACTTTTCATAATTGGAAACCATATGGGAGATGCTATTAGTAAATTGGTACGAAATCTAGAATTAAGTCTAGGAACATGATATAAAAAAATCCTTGAGACTAACGCGTCTGCATTTAAAGTGTTATTTATAATTTTAAAAAGGAATATAATTGAAAACATAATTCGCCTACCACAAAGACTCTGAAAATTAAAACAAAAAAGCAGTAATTCTTGAGGTGTACCACGAGGAGGATCAAATCCATAACTAATAAAATGAATAGTCTTTAAAAATCTCCGGTGTACTACCAATGCATATTCAAAGTACAAATGCTGCATATTTAGAACCTCTACGTTCTGAAAGTCGTTAGAATTACGCAAAATAAAGCCTAAATTCTTATAAGCTTCTTATAAATTATAATAAATTATGATCAAGCCGATCGAAAGCTTTGGAAAATTGGTATATATAACATCAACCTGACTTCCTGCATCCAAAGCTTCAGCAATAAATTGGGTTTTCTCATCTAGATTTGGGATAGTTGAACGATCACTCATAAATCCGTGTTGGTACGGAGATAATGATTTTTTAATATGAAAATAAAGTCGACTGTGTAAAATTATTTCTAGGATTTTTAAGAAGTTACTTATACCTAATATCTATGGGCCGGTAGTTTGTTATGTCGTTCTTAGTACCTTTTTTATAGACGGGACAGATTCGCGACTCTTTCCATACTTGTTTATATTCTTTATTTGTAATTATAGAATTGAATATGGTTTTAAAGATTTTTTTCGAAAATTGTTTTACAGTCTTTTATTAAAAATGCAGAAATTAAATCAGGTCCCATTGTAAAATTACGCTTCATTCTCTTAATTGCATGTATTATATCATCTTCTGTAACCTCAAAAACACAAAGAGTATTAGAGCCAACAGAGGGCAATGTGGGCATACAACTATTAAAGACTGTGAATAGGTAAAAATGAATCAGGAAAATAATTGGCAAAAGCATTGACAATATCAGAATGATTCTTTAACTGAATACTATTATAACACATACAGGATGGAATAGAGATAGAATTAGATCTTGAGTTAATGTGGGACCAAAATCTTTTAGAATTTGAGGATAGATCATTGACTATTCAATTTTAACTATTTTAAATGCTAAACTAATGCAAGATTTAACTTTAGTTCTCATTTCTCTAAAAGCGTTGTAATCATCAATGTTATTTGTAGATTTATATAAAGTTTATTTTTTAATTTAATTTTATTGAAATTTTGCCGTTAAACCAAAATAGATAAATGTCTATGTCCTTTATATAATTGTTGAAAAGTATCCACGTCTCATTCTACTCTTCCTCGTCTCTTTCACTATGTTTAGAAAATTTTCTTGCAAAGCGTTATTGAGCACTCTGCTATCCTACGATGGATTTTGTTAAAGAACATAGTCCAGTTGCACAAGCTGTGCAGCTAAACCAAGCGGATTCCTCAAAAGTTTTTGTCTAACAGGCCATCACTGATTAGGAATGTTTTACAATACTATATTTGTGGTACACCCTTTCAGTCATATGTTTCATATTATGAGAGAATTTGAAGTAATATATTTAAATCACAAGAAAATATCCTAATCTTTAGTCTTAAATTAAACTCTAAAGTGTATAAGGTGTGTAGAATGTAAGTGACTATGGCATGTCAAATAATTCGTCAACACTTACAAGTATATAACTTACCTGCAGGTTTCTTAAAGTGTTGAAGTGGAGCTGCCATAGATCCAACTACAAGCCCTAAGTCCTGTAAATATTCATGCATATTTGTGACATAATCGTCCACGTCTTCCAAATTTCCTGTAATGATCATTGCATACTATATTAGGATAATATTGGTATAAATAAGACAATTAATTGTTTGCTATGAACCATATATGTCATCTTTCACTTTTTAATAGAGGCCGCTAATGGATACGATGCTTTGGACAAACGAACGAGTGGTGAAAATCGTTATGTTATTTGTTTAGTTTTAGAGATATTATTTAATATTTTAGAGAAAATACTAAATGAATTAACGCTCTGTACTTCGCCTCATGCCTCCCTCATCAAAATAATTCCTATAAACTATGATAATATTCCTAGCGTCAATAATTTCTCAACATACCAAACTTCCATTTTGTTTTATCATGTTTTTTTGGTTGACGGTCTCCAGATTCACAAATAAACGCAGCCTCTGTTTTGCAATAAGAACTCTTCCATTCCAAGCCATCATTTCCTGGTGTCAATAAAATGCACTGTTTTTCATCACCGTGAGGTTCCCGAGATGCCCAATTAGTGTAAGTTACTGGTACTCCTTCTGCGAGCCAAACCCAGGTGGTGCCATCAAGAACTTTTGTTCCAGATGACCAAAAGTTGTCTATCAAATCTAAAATTAACGAATGGATAATGTGGATATATGGAAATTTTGATAAACCCTTTATACTTACTGTTATTCTGAATATATTTTCCTAATAATTTGTTCTCTTTTCTAGAGGTGATCGATACTAGATCCATGTTGATTATTTGGCAGAATTGTGCTGCTTGCTGAGGTGCGACCTACAGAATTTTATAATAACAATGGAATTAGAATAAGTAGAAATAAGAAAGAGGTAAAGTTGTTAATAAAAAAAAAAATAAGAAACTTAAAAATCAAATTTGCGATGCAATGATGGTTAAATTGTGTATAACTCGATAACTTCAAATTGTAAACGAATTGTGGGTACATCATGACCAACCAGAAGAAAGAATCATAGGGTTGGAAACACATTACCTTCACTTGTTAGAGATTTCTATGAGTACTTTTGTAAGAATATTTTTGCCATCTCCATGTGTTTTTATAAAAATAAATAAATTCCAAAATATAGACGATTACACCCGATAAACTGTCCAGTTATTTCTATTTGGTTTAATAAAATAATGTTTTACTCACCCTCAAATTTGTTCCGATATAGTAGGTTTTGGTTTTGGTACGCAGTACATTTATATTTTTGGCTAACGAGGGATCCTGGAATAAAGCTGTCCATTCTTGAAAAAGCAAGTATTTAGATTTAGGAAAAGCTCAATAAAGATATAAGATAAGTGAATAATGGTGATTCTTTGATGGAAATTGTGACTATTGTCCGATATTAATATTAATCATTTTACTTACTCTTATCTTTCTCGTCACAAGTCTCAAGGGGTTCATATTTGACTCTCTCGCAAATGAAGTTATATTTTCTCTCACAGCCTCTACTTTTAAGACGGAGTTTTTTCTTGGAGCGAGATCGTTTTAATGTAAGACAGTTTCCAGAATGTTTATCTGTATTTGCCTGTTTTACGTAAACTTTATCCACTAATTCACCAGTCGACAACCAAATATAGTTTTTATTGTCCAAGAGTTTAGAACCAGATGACCAGAAAGTGGTTTCATCAGCTGGAAAATGAAAATGTTATGCTTTATCTTTGTCGATTTATTTACTTGCTTATAAAATATTTATTGACAGAGAAACAATAAACGAATGTTTGTTAAATATCGTAAAAACTTAACGCTTACACATTTTTTCAGAATGTCTATAAAGGTCAATCAGTTCGCCACTCGATTTTATGGTCACAAGTCTCATGTGAATGTCTCTACAAAACTGTTCTGCTTCCAAAAACGTTACCTGAAATTAAAAGTTAAAAGTCAGTGTTTCAAATATTGCAACGTCAGACGTAACATTTTATTGATTGAAAAAAAGAACCTCAGCAAACTTGGCAAGTTGCTTATTTTCTAGGGAAACACAGATGGAACAAATGAATACGGATTCCATCATTTCACTTTTTCCAGCAATCTCCATGCAATCCTTTACAATGTAATAAAACATGATTTTAAATTTTACTGTATCCTAATTTTGTTTCATAAATACAAGTACATAGAGGGTGTTAAAAAAAGAGTGTAAAATATTTAAGGAGGTGATAGTATGAACCAAAATAAGCAGAAAAGTCCCAATAAACATGGGTCCGCAAAGTAACGGTTGCGGAGATATGGAATGTTTTATGTTTTTTAGCCCCTTTTTTTATTTAGCAAAAACGTTGTGTATTTTCTTATAATAGTTGGTTGATGTTTAGTGAAATAAACAGTACGTATTTGACAGTTGTTCTCAGTGCACAAGTTTTCTTTCGCTATGGCTGGTTACTCTAACGCAGAATTAACAGACATGCATTTCATGTATGGTCGTGCTAATGGGAACGCCACCGAAGCGCGACGTCTTTATGTTGACGCTTATCCAAATCGCCAGATTCCTTCACAACGCATGTTTGGAAGAATTCACTAAAGATTCCAGTTCCTTGAGTAAACAGTGCCATTTATCCGGAAGAACAAGGTCGGTATCCACTGCTAGAGCAGAAGAAATTCTAGCACTGGTAGAGCAGAATCCAGGTACGAGTGTGCGGAGAATATCAGCCGAGGTAGGAATTAGTGGTCCTCTTGTTTGGAGAATCCTTCACGAGCAACTGCTTTATCTATACCATGTGCAACGAGTACAGGCCTTAAAACGTTTAGTTTTTTGCCGCTGGTTTCTACGTCATGATGCTGAAGACCCTCGTTTTCTTGCAAACATTCTTTTTACTGATGAGGCCGGGTTCACAAGAAATGGAGTGTTTAATTTTCACAATACGCATATTTGGGCCGACGAAAATCCTCATGCTCTAATAGAATCTGGACATCAGGCACGTTTTTCATTAAACATTTGGATGGGTATTGTAGGTGACAGGTTTCTAGGTCCTGTTGTTTTACCAAACCGATTAACAGGCGTTGCTTACCTCAACTTTCTGAAGAACACACTGTATGAGTTTTTGGAAGACATTCCTTTGAATCAGAGGCAACAAATGTGGTTCCAGCATGATGGTGCTCCAGCTCATTTTTCCATGGCCGTTAGAGAGCATTTACATCAAACTTTTACACATAGATGGGTAGGAAGGGCCGGACCTGTTTTACGGCCTCCAAGATCGCCTGATCTGAACCCTCTAGATTTCTTTGTTTGGGGATATTTGAAGACATTAGTGTATGGTACTCCTGTAAATAGCCTGGAAGAGCTGCAGCAACGGATTAATCAAAAGTGTCAAGAAATCCAAACCAAGGAGGGTGTTTTCGAAAGAGTTCGAATATCGTTGAGACGAAGATGTCGTGCCTGCTTGGAAATGGATGGAGGGCACTTTGAACATCTTCTGTAATTTTGTTTTTTGTTTGTTAAAAGCTTCCTTTGTCGGTTTATTCCTAATAAAATAAAATGTTTGAAAAACGAATAGTTGTTGAATGTTTATTAAAACTTTTCTGCTTATTTTGGTTCATACTATTACCTCCTGAAATATTTTACACACTTTTTTTAACACCCTGTATAATTTATTGTTAGCTATCACATTTTTTACTCTTTGTTTCTAATGCTATCAAATGACGTCAAACGACACTCTTCCATACCATAAACCTAGTAACCTAGAACCTAGATCTAACATAAACCTAGAGAATTTTTTAATATATTGCAAAATAAATAATACCGTTAAATAGTATAGTATAAAAATATTTTGTTTTAAAGAGAGTAAAAAACGATTTTGTCCGCGTGTGCTGTATTTGGAATACTTTAAGTTATTGACATAATAATTATAATTGCAATATGTTTTTTCAGATAGATACACGAACATTTTATGGTACAAAAAACATGCAAATTCCAAAGACTAATGAGAGCGAAGATGACCACAGAAGAAATTAATTATTTCCCAAAAAGTCTAGAATTTTGTGTGAATCTTCCGACCGCGAAGGCAATGTTTTTGGTGATGAAACTGAAAGCGAAGATGACGACGTGCCGCTTTCTGTAATATAGCAATCCTTACAAGTTCAACAATGTAAACATACAAAAAACAATGAGTTTAGCGACGTTAATCTGCCTTCAACATCGGCAGGTAAATCAAACAAAAGCACAGTGTAAAAAATGCCAAAAGAAACAGTTGACTGACAGAATAAGTTTTTAGCTGTTTCTGAAGAGTTTGTCAAATTCAAAGGATGTGAAGCACTTCCGAATTTCATAGAAGAGCTTCAAGACCAAATCCAATTCTTCAATTTCTGTTTTACCGATGAAATATATATAACCGAAGAGTCAAACCATTTCGGTGTACAGAATAGGCCTAAAAATCCACCTATTGTATAGCCAAAGAAGAAATTCGCTTATATCAATTATGTAACTGTCATCTACAGATCTTATTGGAATTCTTCGTTAAAGATTACAAATATCTTTTCTGCTATGACATGCAATAGATTTGAATGATTTCTTCATTTCAATGACAATACACTGCAAATTCTATAGAATTAACCAGGGCTCGATAAACGTTTAAGATACGTCCATTGCTAAATAAAATTCGCGAGAGACTCCTGCTTGTTCCTAAGGAAGAACACATGGCCTTAGATGAACAAATAATTCCAACGAAAGCACCATGATCTCTAAAACAATATAACCCAAAGAACCCCATAAATCGGAATATAAAGTCATCATTCTAAGTGGAGTATCCGGTTTTTCTTACAATTTTGATATTGTTGTGGAATTACTACTCTCGAAGACTATCAGTCGGACCTAGGAGCAAGCAGCAATCTCGTGGTAAAACCAAAAAATATCTAAATACAAAATTTTTTTTTAATAATTGGTTTACCAGTATTCCACTACTAACTTAACTGACCAAAATTAATATTTTACCCCTGGCTATAGTAAGAGGAATCGTGTACCGAATTTTACAAGAATGTGGAGAGGCTCTGGAGTTATTTGTCAGACGAAGGGAGGTAGAGTTAGTTTGTGTTCCGGGCCATATGGGTATTCCTGGTAACGAAAGGATTGATCAACTGGCTCGTCTTGGAACTAGGGGACCTGGCCTGTGACCTGAACCAATCCTTGGAATCATACGAGGTAGTATTAGGTCAAAACTGGAGGAGGACCAGAGGATGTAGGCGGGCCCATAGTTTTATATAAGGACCTAGCGAACCTAAGACGATATGGCTTCTGAGTCTCTGTCGAAGAGCCCTAAACCAAATGGTGGGGGTTCTGATAGGCCATTGCAGACTTAGGAGGCATTTATGTTTAATAGGAATTGAGGAGGATCCTTTATTCCAGAAAAGTGGAGAAGGAGAGGACACCCTTGTCTACCTTCTGGGACACTGTGCAGCCATTGGGAGATTAAGTCTGTGTTGCTGAAGAGGTTGAAGTGAGGGACCTTCCATGGACCAAAATCCTGGCGTTCATTAGGGCGTCCGGTAGGTTCGAGGAGGCAGAGGGTGGACAGGTGATGGGACGGTGGGGCAGGCAAAAAGGGCCCACATGTGGCCTACTTGCCAGGCTGAGGCCAACCTACTGCTACTACTATACTCCTAGCCATATAAATGACACTTAATATTATAGAGTAACGTCACATACGTTGTTACTTATATGACGTTTGAAGAAAAGACATTTTTTATGATTTATTTTAATAAAAATTTTCAAATTTTTTTTTTGTTTTTCTATTTTTGCAATTTGTGTCAAATTTGGCATTGTCAAAAGTATCATTTTTTTTCTCAAAAAGAAATATATGATATTTTAAATATATTTTTTAATACATCTAACAGTATCAACTACCACATATTTTTTTAATAAATTAAGAAAAATCATGCAGTAAGGGGTTAATAGAAGAACACATACCTTATGATTGATTCCAAAATAGTAAATTTTGTTTTCGCTGGTACGAAGTGGTATAATAGTTTGCTTTTCATTATCTGCTAGTACCTTTTCCCATTCTGAAAAATAAGTTAAATATAATTTTCTTTTACAAAAAAGTATTAGATAAAAAATCCCACAGCTGCACAAACTTCGCACACCGAAATTTTAACGTACTCACATCATAACACTGGCTGTAATTTTAATGAAGAAATTTATAAATATTTACTTACTGTCACCACAATGACCACCAAGCGCATTTTGTACAGATGTCGATGTACAAATGAAGAAAATCAAAAAGAGTCGAAGATGCATCGTGTGTGTCAACTGAAATAGGTCCATTATTAATTAATGATATTGTGGAAAACAGCTACTCTGCAGACTGCAACACTATCAAACATTGAATGTAAACAATAGAATCACCATCTCGGCTTCGAACTTAATAGTTTTCATCGGTATACCGAGGCAAGCGACAAATGATCCAGCTATTCCAGTGTCTTATGTTCAGAAAATTTCTTCCGAATGTAATAATTCCGAAACCATTTTTAATAATACAGTGTTAAAATTATCACGCTTGAGTTAGGATATTTATTCTGAAACACTTACTACTTATGTGTTTTGCATGTATTTTCATTCTACAACAAGGTACAGAATGTATATTCCGTAATCGAATTAAAAGACTAGGTTTCCATGGATTCCAAAACTGTCAGTGTCAAATATAAATGACGGCGTCGTAATAATTATTTTCAGTTTTAATGTAAATAAAATAATATGTGCATCGAGTGATTCAGATATAGAATTTGATAATGCCTACCTGAAATTACAAATTATGTAAATAATACTAGGTGTTAGAAGTTTGACTGCCTTAATTTCAACAGACGGCAGAATACATTAAAATAAACAAAAAAACTTTATAGGTATGACATGGGTCCTAAACTCAACCATTTCCGAGAAAAAAATCATCAAAATCTCCAAATTGATCTACAAAAGTTCGATTAATTAATATTCACATAACTGCGTGCATGGAATACCATAAAATACTATGTTTATCACTTTTTTGAATTTCTTTATGCTTAATTCTAAAAAATAATTAGCGTTGTAATAAATTTAAAATTCGATAAAATTCATATCGAGCAATGTGACAACGGCGCATTGCATTACGCAGTTCAGTTAGTATCTGAGTGTTTTTTGCGTACCACTATTTCCTTTTCTTGAGGTGCTTTCCAGTGAATGCGCGAAAATTGGATTCGAAGGTGTCGTGCGTGTATCGAAAATGGTGATGGACATTTTCAGCATATGTTGTAGTTTGTTTTGTACTCGTGCGTTTAAAAATTACTTAATTTTGCTTTTGGTAAGTATCTAAGTTATTTTTAATACGTATGATTATTTGGACGACGTGAATTTTTGGGTACTTTAATTACATATTTTTCAAATTTATAATTTGACTAAAAGTCAAGTTCCTGTTTTAAGAGATTCATAATTGCTAAAATTCGAGTAAAATTTAAACACAACACAATCTTCGTACAGTTGGCGCCATCCAAATGTGAACGGATTTTGGTTGTTATGGAAATTTAATCTGGATTTTATCGTAGTACATCAGACTTTTTTTAGTGGCGTAGCACAGAGGGGGTATTGATAGAATTTTATTTTCAGTGTCTCTTATAGTACTTAATAATTAAAAAGACGACACAAATAATATAAAGGAGATTAACGAAATAAATCTTACTTACATATTAGCGGAAGAAAGTTAATAATAATAATTTTATCAATTTTAGTAGATATATTTTAAAGTATAACAATTATTAAAAAAACCAGTAAATAAAAAGTAAAAAACCTTATTTCAAAATTAACAACAAATCTAGGGCTATAGAAGAAAATTATATTTGAGCACTATTAGAAGATTGGAACGTCGAGGAACACTACGTTGTTCCAGAATTCATTTCCTTGATGTAGCAGTTCATTTGAAAACTGGACTCTTCTTTGTTTATGCTCAGCGATTAGGAATACTTTGTGACCAGCAGTGCAATTTTTCAGGCCAGATTGTTTTAGACGTCTTTGTGCTGTTCTGAGACACCCTGGAAATAATGTTTCTTCTCGCGCTTTCACAGCGGTTTCGAAAGGATTCTGATGGATAAATTCGGCCAAAGCGTTATCTTCCGCGTCATTGGAAACCTTCCCGACACCTTGCCTGATAGGTCTTTGTAATCTTTGTTCTTCTTGCCAGCGTTTTTTAATATAAAATATACAGCTCTTACTGACATTTAAATCAGCAGCCACTTCACTCAAAGACCAATTATCTTCTAATTTAGCTATAGCCCTTGCTCTTTGCGCCTCAGTTAAATGCCCCGGCATATTTCACGTTACTTGTTTAGGTTTCACTACGTTTGCTCTAAGTGACATATATATTTGACAATTATTGAATTTTACGACGACTATGATTTAAAGTTTAAATTACACGATACAATATTGCCGTTCACATTTGGGTGGCGCCGACTGTACTCCAAAATCGATACATTTTATTTTATTTATTTAAAAACTGGAAAACAGTTGTCTTGAAATTTACTAAATGTTTCACAATAATAGTTGTTTACATTTTTTCCGTAGGACAAGTCTGTCGCGTGCACACGTGGTATGCACTGTATAGCGTTAGGTCAAGCGCTGTTGCCACGTTGTGATGAAACTCTCCAATATTAATACTCGTACTTTCAAAACTGTTAATCTTACGCTCCTGTAATATTCAACTTTTTTGTTCATTTATGATTATCTCATGCTGCAGTAATGGCAGTCAAACTACTTACACTCTGTATAAGCGAGAATATGCTGCCGCAAAAATCGAGACATGAATATGAAAAATAGTATGCACTGTTAAGGGATTGGCAACAAGAAAAGAAAACAGACTCCTTTTCCGGAAATGTTTTCATTGTATTTTCTGGTGATTAAAAAAATATTCTCGACTCTATGGAAATTATATTCAATCCTAAAAGCAACGATAAATGTGAAACACGATATCGATATTTCAAGATGCAAAAAATTAAAAACTTTGTTAAAACTCTCTTCTAAAAAGTATGTAGCTAAGAAATCGAAGATTTTTACAGAAGAAAATGTTAGGCAATTCTTAGAAGATGCTCCGGATGAAAAATATTTAACTACAAAGGTAATAAAAATCAAAATTTAAATATCAATTTTAATAAAATGTAGTTTTTATTTTTAGGTCGCCCTTGTCATTAGTGTTTTGGGGGCTTGTCGTAAGAATGAGCTTTATAAAATTCCCGATATTAAAGATTTGGAAGCCGCAATACTAATTGCAATTCTTAATACAAAAACTAAAAAACTAAGATAGTATACAATGTTTATAACATTATAGAAAAAAACTGGGCTTTGAGACCTTATAATGTTCCTTGAAATAATTTTTTATTAATTTTCAAAAAAAATAAATGTACACGACACGTAATTGGGATAAATAAACTGGGCAATATACCTAAACAAATTGTCACATTTTGAATTTAGACAACCCACAAGAGTATACCGGCCACTGTTTCCGCCGTACCTCAGCGACTACGTTGGTAGATGTAGGTGCTCATATTAAACATTAAAAAGGCATGGGGATTGAAAGGCTTCTGAAGTAGCAGAAGGATACATAGAAAATTCTCTACAAAATCGAATAAATATAGCAAATCAATTAGTTTCTTTGATTACTGAATCTAATTCGTTAGTAACCGTTCCCTCAACCTCCTCCAATCTTCCTGCTACACGACTGTTAAGTCTGCCACTACAAATCAAATTGTTTTGAAAAATATTATAGAAAATATTTCTAGTGCACCAGTTTTTAATTTTAGTAACTGTACCAACACTATAAATATAAATATTATTACAGTGTAATACACATGTCTCAATAAATAACTTATTTTGTTCAGGTTTGTTTTTGATTCATACATTTTGGTCGTGGAGAAAATATGGTCTGTTACTCGGTTAGAAGGAAAAAATTCGATACTTGTGGTTCCACTCTTATCGATTTTTTTCATTCTAATCTTGTTACAGAATATACTACTGTTCCATATCTTCCATTTATATGCTTTGTACGATTTAAAGGCAATGCCAGTACTCGTGTAGGTATCGCTACCACTTTTCGACATAGCAACTGAAGTAACTATATTTACAGAACGAGCCCAATATACTAAGAACTAGTATACAAAATTTTATCCAAATTGAGCACTAAAACGTGTTATTTATGAATCATACATACGTACAGTATACAGATGCAACGCAAAATAAATACGGATTAAAATTTGAGAGAATATGTTGTGCTTACTAATCACGAAAGCAAAACAGAATTAACGTGATAAATATAGGTACAGTAAAATAATTTTAAATTAAGTGACTAAATAATAGAACATATTTAACTTGATAAAAAACTTTACTTACAAAAAACCTAAGATACTTTTGTGAATTATTTTTTAATATCTATGTTTCAAAAAGTGTTTCAAGTTTGGAAACGATATCCACCGCTAACAAATTTTTATAGAATTAGAAGTACCCAACATAAAGAATATATTAATATAGCTTCAATAAATATTATTAAATAAATAAAAAACTATTTAAGAAACAAAAAACTAAAGTTTATGTAAACACAGGTAGATACGTACCTCTTGAAGCACACAACGAACGATGCACCTCTGGCTTCCTCAAATTATATATTACCTGTAGGCCTAATTAAGTGGATACATAAAACCCACATGATTTTTATATCTATATATTATTAAATATAAAACAATGGACCATTTTAATTGAATATAAATCATCATGATTGATTTTCTTTTGTATAGATTTTATATTTTCTTTGAACTGATAACTATTTTTTAATGTGCTCATTTATTGTAGCATATTTTATGAATTGAGAAATTAATTTTTATTTAGTTGTGTTCTTTTAGTACCTAAGTACCTACAAATTTTGTTAAAAAATAAATATATTAACATGAAGAGATCGATTAATCGACAGTAAATAGAGTAAAAACACGAATAACTAATAATACGTATTGTAGCTGCTATTTAAATTCATCGAAAATTGATTGAATTGATTATGTCTTAAAAATTAGGGTACTAAGGAACTACAACGTTGATGGGTTTTTGTTGCATGAATCGTTCAAATGGTTATTCAGAAAGAAAAAACTGCGGAGTGCTATTAAATTAGAGGGTGGAAATTGGAGACAGGGTGAAAATGCAACCCTTACGGTTTTTTGAGTATATCTCGAAAATGAAGCAAAATTTGAGGGTATTGCATAGGAAAAATTTTGTAGATAATGACATTTTATATCGAAATAGCTTATTTAAAAAATTTTAAAAAATTTATTTACTGCAAAATATATTAAAAACAATTTAACAAAAAAATTTAAAAAAAAATAAATTTTTTGTTTTTTTTTCTTTTATGCAAATAACTTTTGTCTGAGCAGAGATAGGTATGGGTATTGCTTCATTGAAAAAAAAGTATATACAATTTCCTTCAAAACAAGAGGTTATAGAGTATTTTTGGATGAAAATTGACTGATATATGGCCGCTCAAACTTGGTCAATTTTTCGATTTTCGTCGCGTTTATCTTTATACGTTTTAATTCTCATTTTTGTAAAAAAAGAAGGAAATAAGACGTTCAAGGAATTTCATCACATGACTTGTTCGAAGGGTCATTAAAAATGAAAAAACCGCGGTGTGCTATTTGCACTTTGCAGTTTTTTTAATATAGCACGAAAACGAAGCAAAATTTCGGTATAGTTCATAGGAAAAATTTTATAGAGAATTGAATTTCCCATCGAAATGGCCTATTAAAAAAATTTAAAAGAAAACTTTTATGCAAAAAATCGTTAATAAACAATTTTAAAGAAAGCAAAAATAAGACTTTTTGATTTTTTAAGATTTTTTTTACCTTTTTAATAAAATAATTTAGTAAAAACTTGAGAATTTAAGCATAATAAAGTTTATTAATAATATACACTGTGTCCACGGATGGAGTTGACAACAGGAAAAATTCTTTTGTTTTTGACTTTATCGAAAAATGTCACTCTTTATAAAAAGTTCTGCCCCTCAAAAAAATGAGACTATCATACAAACATCTTAGATTAGATATACAGAGTGTTCATAAATTAAAAAAAAAACACGAAAATACTTAAGAGAGAAGTACCATTATTTATTATTTTACACATTTTTATAAAACAAATCTATTTATATCCTCAAATAATGTCCTAATGACCTCAAAAAATTAAATTTTGGTTTTAAAATTTGCCTTAAGACATTATTTGAGGTTATAAACAGATTTGTTCTATAAAAATGTTGTGTAAAATAATAAATAATGGTACTTATCTCTTGAGTATTTTCGTGTTATTTTTTAATTTATGAGAACCCTGTACATCTAATCTAATCTAAGATGTTTGTATGACAGTCTCATTTTTTCGAGGGGCAGAACTTTTTATAAAGAGAGACATTTTTCGATACAGTCAAAAACAAAAGAGTTTTCAACTCCATCCGTGGACACACTGAATATACATTATTAATAAACTCTATTGTAGTTAAATTCTCAAGTTTTTACCAAATTATTGTTTTAAAAAAGTAAAAAAAAATCAAAAAATCTTATTCTTTGCTTCCTTTACAATAGTTTATTAACGATTCTTTGCATAAAATTTTTGTTTAAAATTTTTTAAATAAGCCATTTCGATGGGAAATTTAATTCTCTACAAAATTTTTCTTCGTTTTAGTGCTATATTAAAAAAACTGCTAAAGTACATTTTCACCCCTATCTCCAATTTCCACCCTCTAATTTAATAGCACTTCGCGGTTTTTTCAATCTAAATAACCATTTTAACGATTCATGCAATAAAAACCCATCAACGTTGTAGTTCCATACCATATGACATAATCAATAGCCTATATGAAGTTAAACATCAAACTTGACGATCGGGAAAAAAGTCATTAATTTTAGTAATTGTATGCTGAGTGTTTTGAAAATGACCAGGAAGTTTTCATTTAGCGAACAAGTTGACATGCTACTAGTGTTAGGTTTCTGTGAAGGAGAAGATTTCCAAATGGTGTAATCCCCCATAGAGAAACATTTTCCAATGTTGAAAGACGGGCAAGTTTTTCAGTAACACTCGAGAACGTGCTATTGTAATCAGGATATAAGGCAAAGAACTTATTTTGAATAAATTGAAGATGACCCACATAGTACTGGAATTATATCTCTACAAACTGGTATATCGCAAACTTCTGTGCACCGAGTGATCAGACGTAATCTACTACACCCATATCATATCCAAAAAGTGCAAGAATTGTTACTGAATTATTTGGCTAAAAGGGTAAATTTATGTCAGTTTATTTTATATCGAGGCTATAATTTTCAAAAGAAAATTATCTTTACTGATGAAGCTTGTTTTAATCGCAGAGGTATTACAAGTTTACATAACTATCATGAGAATCCCTCATTCAGTAACTCCTCGACATTTCCAATGTGAGTTTAAACTAAATGTTTGGATCGGTGTTATTGATCGGTATTTAATTGCTCCAGTTAGTTTACCGAATCGACTAAATGGCGAAATTTATTTAGAATTTCTATAAAACACTCTCCCGGATCTACTTGACGAGGTGCCACTACAACTTAGACTGGAACATTGGTTTATGCATGATTGAGCACCCCTTCAATTTATTAATAGTGTTAGAGACTTTTTAAAACAGCAGTACCCAAATAAATGAATTGGAAGAGGAAATAATTGCCCACAAACTAGCCTCCACGATCACCAGACCTCAATAAATGTGACTTCTTTTTTTGGGGAACGTTATAAGAATTTGTGTATTTCTCCCCAGTTGCTCGAGACGAGCAGAATTGTGGAATTGCGTAACGGATAAATGCACATTCATTACAAACAATCAGCAGTTATTGAATGGAATAGACTTCAATTTTTGATGAGGAATATTTATGCCTAAGATAAAACGGTGATTATTTTGAACAATTTCTATAACTTATCAGTGCAAATGTATGTTGTTTCTGTTGTTTAAGTTGTTTGTTTTTCTGTTAAATTATTCTTATTCCAACTTTTTTCCTGATCGCCAAGTTTGACATTTAAATTCATAGCCAACTTTTGAATATTCGTTGATTTTAAGTAATACAGCTATAATACAACTACAATACGTATTATTAGTTATTCGTGTTTTTGTTGATAACGACAAAGTTCTTTGAAAACTAACAAAAGTTTTAGAATTAAATTCTCCATATAATAAAGAAGAAGAAGAAGAAATAATTTCTTAAGTCCGCCAACGTGTTAAAAAATTCTGTCGCATTTTAATGGTGCATCATCCCTTATCAACCCTTTAAAATGCTTCAATTGAACTGTACTTACTGCCGATTAATGCTATTGGTACACTCACATCGTGTACCGTGTGCAATTTTGAAATTTGAAACCCCAACTCCAAGGGCTATAACTTCTCAGGGTGCAGCTTAGTATAAAGTTATATTAAATCACCATATTTTGGGCTCCCCTACATGCCCCTGCTATGTGTCGGTTCTTACGCGGAACACCCTGTATATCTTCTCATCTCTACGCGATTGCTGTTGTTACCATATTTTTGTGAATACTCACCTTTGAACTGACATATGGACGCTGTAATATCTGATTTCTGAGATTTCAAATACAACGAAACTGTGACTCAGTGTAAATTTCATGAGAGGTTCTACTGGACATTTAGTTCAAGTATAGAGTTGGACGCGACTTTTTGTTTCGGCAAGCTGAATTTATCACTATAAATGCTAAATATTATGTACAATAATATATTAGTTTCCACAGTCATAAAAATGGGGGGAAGATTGTTTACAGGGTGGTTAATTGCATAATTTTTACGTAAACTCACGTTGTTTGCTTATAATTATTTTCCGTTCATTTCCACGAGAAAGCAGTAAAGCACGTTTTTTTTCGTCTTCAGAAGACCTACAAAACTAGCTATAGAGCGTCAAAAAATATTGATTAGATCAAAACTTATAAACAAATGAAATTTATTTATGACTTTTGAATTAAACATTTATAAACTACGTTATTATTACCAGAACGTTTTAGCATCGCATCATGTCATTCCTTATCACTGTCTAATAACTCACACGAAATCTGGAATCTTATAAACAAATTAACTAATTATTAGTCTAGACGATCTCGAGCATCTTCCACAATCGCACTAATTTTTTTCGTGGTAGATTTCATAATAATACATTGAAATCTATATTTTTTTTTAATTTCAATTTTGGAACCTGAATTTTTTTTTATCTTTTAGCCTTAGTTGCAAAATGAAATATACGACGTCCGAGCGTGACATAGTTATATATTATAACATATTCGGAAAGCTTATGGAAAGAGCTTTAAGTTAAAAAAAAAATCGTCAAGGTTCGTTGAAAAACAACGAAGTTACAGACTGTCAAATATATTATTTTCAAGTGAATTTCCCTTATTTAACGGCAGGACTAAGAATATTATTGTCATTTTCTTTGGACTCACTGTCGTTCGCTTCCCCCACCCTTCCGCCGCGCCACGACTCGCCGAGAATCAAGCGACCCACTGACTTTTGACAATATTTCTTATGCATTTAACATACTTTCACAAATAAAATATTTTTACCTGGGAAAGTACTCGGGTTGCCGGTTATGAACGTATTTTTTTACCACTACCAACCTAATTTGTTTAACAATCGGCCGTCAACTTTAACAGTCTGTAACTCCGTTGTTTTTCCACGAATCTTGACGATTTTTTTTTAACTTAAAGCTCTTTTCATAAGCTTTCCGAATATGTAATAATATACAGGGTGTTCCTAAATAAGTGTCGCAACGGAAAACTGTAAATTCCTCTTGAAAAATGAAACATTTTTTTCCTCTTCCATTTTTCTCTCCGGGCTTTCGTTTTCGAGATACAGGGTGTGAAAACTTTATTTTTTTTTTTAGTTTTTCGCCAATATCTTAGGAATAGTTTGAACTACAGGACTGAGCTTTTGTACACACATTACCACTATTAATAGCTACTTTTTCGCACCCTTCTCGAATTCATTGGACGTGCCAGTGGTGGAGATTTTAAGGTATCGTAAGGGTTTTTCCCCCCCTAAATTTTACGCCACTGGAAAAATTGACTTTTGACAGCAAATTCTAAAGCGCCAATGAATTTTACACAATAAGAGTTCTCTTGGTTCATTGCTCTAAAGTCAACCGTTTTCAAGAAAAATGACTTTTTATGAACAAAAGCAAACATTTTGCTAACGTTTCGAAAATTTTTTACATTTTGCATTTTGCATTTTGAACATTTTGCAAGTGCAAGTAACTGAACAGAACATCCGGAGAACGAAATGCATCGTTTATGAAATCCATGTCAATACTATCGAAAAGTTGACCGATAGAGGTGAAGCCGCAGCGGCAGAAAGAAACATGATTAGAAGATGTAATGCGTGCATTCAAGCCAACGGACGTAATTTTGAACAGTTTCTGTAAATTTTACTCGCCAAATTGATAAAAAAAGTTAAAATCCTATCTGTTGTTAAATTTCGTAAAAATTGTTAATTATTACTACCTATTTTTTGAATTACAAAATATTTTCGAAACGTTAGCAAAATGTTTGCTTTTGTTTATAAAAAGTCATTTTTCTTGAAAACGGTTGACTTTAGAGCAATGAACCAAGAGAACTCTTATTGTGTAAAATTCATTGGCGCTTTAGAATTTGCTGTCAAAAGTCAATTTTTCCAGTGGCGTAAAATTTAGGGGGGGAAAAACCCTCACGATACCTTAAAATCTCCACCACCAATGAATTCAAGAAGGGTGCGAAAAAGTAGCTATTAATAGTGGTAATGTGTGTACAAAAGCTCAGTCCTGTAGTTCAAACTATTCCTAAGATATTGGCGAAAAACTAAAAAAAAATTAAAGTTTTAACACCCTGTAACTCGAAAACGAAAGCCCGGAGAGAAAAATCGAAATGGAAAAAAATGTTTCTCTTTTCAAGAGGAATTTACAGTTTTCCGTTGCGACACTTATTTAGGAATACCCTGTATGTAACAGGGTGTTACAAAATTCGCGGACACGGACTATGGGATCATATTAAGCTAGATAAGGTGATAAAAAGGTGTCTTTATGATTTTTCAATCAGACCAGTATTTTTCGAGATATAGAAGTATCAAATATCCAAAAATAATAAAAATATATATTTATAAATTTCAATTTTCAATCATTAGATAAACAATTACGACAGATGAATTACAACAATTGTTCAAAATTTCCACCGTCTGCTGTTAAACAGACTTAAGCACATTGTGTTACTGCTCTAATGGAGTTGCGTATCACCTCTGGTGTTATTTGCTGTATTGATTGAAATAGGCGGTTCTCCAATTCATTCAAATTTGCCACTGGTGTTCTGTACACCAATGTTTTTAAGAAGCCCCAAAATAAAAAATTACATAGCATTAGGTCTGGAGAACGATGTGGCCAAGCAAATGAACCGCCTCTGCCAACCCAACCGCACTGCTTCACCTGCACAATGATTTGAAGCTCCAAGAGCCATCAGCATATCTACTACTCACGATTTGAATAATTGTGGCCTATTATTTTGCCGTTTGTATCGACAGGTAGGTACTTTTACTGTACTCTAACGATGTCAAAGTATTGATAAATGCTTTCTGAATTGTCATTAATTGTTATAGAGCTGTCTGTTTCAAACAATACAACAAATAACGCCAGAGATGGTAGGTACGCAACTCCGTTCGAGCTGTAGCACAATATGCTGAAGCATGTTTAGCAGTAGATGGTGGAAATTTTGAACAATTCGTTTGTTATAATTATTCCTCAAATGATTAAATATTGAAAATTTTTATTATTTTTGGATATTTAAAACTGCCGTATCTCAAAAAATATCGGTCTGATTGAAAAATGATAGAGACATTTTTTATGACCTTATCTAACTTAACATTATCCCAGAGTCCGTGTCCGCGAATTTCGTAACACCCTGTATATCACGCTCGTGCGTCGTATATTTCATTTTGCAACTAAGGCTAAAAAATAAAAATAAATCCAAGTTGCAAATTTGAAATTAAAAAAAATTATAGATTTCAACGTATTATTATGAAATCTACCTTGAAAAAAATCAGTGAGATTGTGGAAGGTCCTCCGGATCGTCCAGACTAATAATTAGTTAATTTGTTTATAAGGCCATAACTTGTAAACTTACAGATTACTGATTTCATGTGAGTTATTAGACAGTGATAAGGAATGAGAGGATGCGATGCCAAAACGTTCTGGTAATAATAACGCAGTTTATAAATGTTTAATTCAAAACTTCTTCTGTTTATAACTTTTGATCTAATCAATATTTTTTACGCTCGAGGGCTAGTTTTTTAGGTCTTTTGAAGACGAAAAAAAGGTACTGTTTTCTCGTGGAAATGGGCAGAAAAAAGTTATAAGTGATTAACCACTCAGTAAACAATCTTCCCCCCATCTTTATGACTGTGGAAACTAATATGTTATTGTACATAATATTTAGCATCTATAGTGATAAATTTAGCTTGCCGAAACAAAAAGTCGCAAAATGGTCATTTCCTAGCTTATTTTCCTGGCCTAATTGTCAAGTACAACATATCAAAATTCAGACGAATCGACCGGGAACTCAAACCCATAAGGTTTGTGCGGGGTCCTTTAAACTGTCTGACAATTAAAACGAAAAGTCAAAAAAAGTTGAGACGATAACTTTTTAAAGTTCGCAATATAACGATATAAAGTGATGTGTTTTGTTCTCTTTTTTTTTCAGTGTGAGATTTTTCGATTAGGCAAACTATTTTCCTAAAAATTATCCTGATTGATCCTTTTGGCTCAAAGGTTTATTTTTTTTTCACAAATGGCAAAATACCCAAAAAATAAAGAGAAAAAGTAAATGAAGGAATTGGCTTTATTTATCTTTATTTTAAAATATTACGGCGAACTCTCACTTTTAAAAAACGTACGTCCCGTCCCAACAAAATTAATTCAAAAAGTATTCTCAAATCAGAGTTACATAATTCAGTTACAGTTTAGTTACATTATTGAGTTACATGGTGTTACATAGTAACAAAGGTAGTATGGCACTGTATTTTTACAGCCCAGTTACAATCCTAATACAGTTAACTACCATCTACATTGTATGGTGTACAAAAACCCTACTATGGGTGCTTGTAAAACATTTTGATTTTGTCAAAGGAAACGGCAAAATAAATACATTGAATGTGATGTAAATGGTATTTATTAGACATTTATGAACATTTATTAAATACAATGTAACTTTTTAACAATCGCACACACATAATACTAATTAAAACGGATCTGGAATTTCTGGGATTGTATCAAACGTAGCATTGGCTATTTTAAAGTAAGCATAAGGCAGGCTAACGTTTTTGGCCGCAGACTCATTATTAACATAAATATTCAGTATTGGAGGGACTTTAGGACAAGTTTTCACCCCAGCGGTTTTCTCACATATGAAATAACGTTCTTCGTCGCAAGACTGCTCACTCCACGTGCCATTCGAGAAAATTTCGATACAAAATAGGTCTTTGTTTGAGTCGGAATTTTTAAACTTGAGGTTCGAGTATGTCAAACTTGTTCCAGTTGACCAAGTCCATTTATCTTTCTCGTTTAATTTGCGAGCAGATATCCAATAGCTATTTGCCTCTGCACCTAGAAGACAGAAGAGTTAAAAGTTTAATAAAAATATGTGCAGGATGTCCCAAATGGGTTGGGACAATTTTCAACCCAACTGATTGGATTGAAATGAAATGATGCAACTAAAATTTAATCATATCGTTTTGATCCCAGTAATCTGTGGTATATGAGATTCTTTGTATTTATTAAGTAGACCATCAGGGTTTTATACAGGGTATTTCTGAAGTAGAGGTGAAAAATTCAGGGGCGTATTCTGAGGCCAAAAATAAGGGTTTTTGTTATATAAATGTGGGGTCTTAAGACAGCCATTGTTCAGCTACAGCGTGTCAAAATTTTTTTATATCTAAACCGCTTGAGATAATTTAACCAAATTCAGTGTGCATATTTAGTATGACAGTAGATATGAAACAAAAACTTACCAGCTTTAAAAACTTATCAGTGGCGGAGGTGTGGGTATCATCCGTCATTATTTGCCAAAAAAATGTCACCCTGTATAATATTATAAATAAAATAGGTTATCATATGCGCCATTGTATTATCTTCACTTTTTGTTTCTTTACACTTTCAAACCGATTAACAACAAAATTGATTTATTTAACGAAGTGCATTTTTACGATACCCATTACATTTCTTAAAATAATAACAAAATGGAATTACTTTACTATGATTTATTATAACAAACGAAATGGAAATGGCCACCTTCGGCCAAAATACATGCTTCAGATCTTCTTGAAATTGCAGCTCGAACACGTGCAAAAATTCCAGGAGGAGTTCTTATTACATCACAACCAGCTATAATTTGTTGTCGTAACTGCTCCTCAGATTCAATGTAAACCTTGTAAACTAATGTCTGGAGATGCCCCCAATCGGGGTGGCCAAGGTTGTCCTGGTTCTTGAGTGCCTCGTCCAATCACGTTATTACGAATCTTTCAATTGAAAATTCACGAGCAGTCAAACCAAAATGTGGGGGAGCCCCATCGTGCATAAACCAAACTCTTACTCTTAGTGCATAGGGAACATCATCAAGTAGTTCAGCAAAAACGTTTTCAAGAAAATGTCTGTAGGAGGCACCGGTTAAAGTTGTTGGTAAAAAGTAAGGCACAACAAGAAAATTTCCAATAATACCTACCCATACATTCAAAGAAAATTTCATTATGGCATGAATGTTTTCATCAGACCACATGTGTTTATTATGGAAGTCCATTATAGCATCTCTGGAAAAAATAGCTTCGTGGATAAGCAACATGCCAGCGGTACAGTCAATATCTTGTTAAATTGTTTGCAAAATCCAATCGCAAAATTGTAGGCGAGCAGGATAGTCTTGCAGCAGTAAGGCTTGAACCCTTTGTATGTGATAAGAGTATAACTCTTAACGCTTCAGAATGGACCAAACAAATTTGTGATTCACATTAAGATTTGCAGCGATCTTCCTAATACTAGTATTTGTATCTTCCAACTTAGGCGTTCCAACACTCAAAGGTCTTCTAGGAGTTGAACTTTTCTGAAATAAGCCTGACTCCGAAAGACGTTGAAGTACATTTCTGAACATTCTTGGATTTGGAGTTGGACGATTTGGAAATCTTTCCACAGCCCCAGTATCATTTCCATCTGTAAGGCCATAAATGTAAAACATATTGGCCATTTCAGCATTTAAATATGCATAAACCACTATAAAACTTAAAAAAAAAACTTAATTTGACATAACACAATATTAAATAAGATGACGGTTTCTTATTATTATTGTTTTGCTTGGCCTCCCTAAGATATGTTTAAGTAATTTAAGTAAATATGCACTTGATGAAATAAATTAATTTTGTTGTTAATCGGTTTGGAATATAAAAAAGTGTAAAGAAACAAAAAGTGAAGATTATACAATGACGCATATGATGATGTATTTTATTTGTAATTTATATAGCGTGATATATCCTTACCCACACCTCCGCCTCTGGTAAGTTTCTAAAGCTGGTAATTTTTTGTTTCATATCTACTGTCATATTAAACATACATACCGAATTTAGTTAAATTATCTCAAGTGGTTAAGAAATTAAAAATTAAAAATCGATTATTTTTTAATTTTTGACACGCTGTAGCTGGACAATGGCTGTCCTAAAACACCATAATTATAACAAAAAATCCTTATTTAAGAAACTCTACTTAAGAAATACCCTGTATATTATTATTACTGCGTTATTACATTATATAATATAATTTTACTAAACCTAATACTCTTAGTGGCAAAAATTTATTTAAATATAGAATTAGACTTAGGATTGAAACAAAACTCAAAATTAAATTATTGCTGCACCGAAAATGGTTCCTGCTGTTGAAAATACAATAACAGTTTTCTTAGTGTGTGTTTTGAGACTAAAGATTATTGTAAAAATCCAATAAACAACATAATTACTGAATATTTACTTAGTCGACTCAAACTTTCAAATTGACGTACTATTTATTCATGATACTTCAACTGTTGCTATGTTACGAAAAAGGGATTTATGATTCACATTAATAGATATCAGCACTTCAATACTTACTGTGATGAAGAAGCAATTGGCGAATTTCTTCATCCTCTTCTTCAGTTGTGATACTGACTAGTTGCATGTGATTACGTTGGCAGAACTGAGAAGCCTCCAACTGTGTTATCTGGAACAAAAAACTCTGACTATAAGTAAATTGTTACAAAGAAAAATGTGATTAGTTAATATTGTTTAAGATTAACAATTTACAAAAAGTTATAAAGTAATACTAGTACAGATACCAACTTTTTTTTATTATCCTGTGTTGAATAAAACAGTATCAACAAATAACAATGATTTAAAATGCGGAATTGTTAATAAAGGTTAAATACTTATTACTGAACTTATGTCAATAATTTAATGAGGTGAAAAAGGAGCAAAAACTGAGTTAACTGTCACAAAGTTGTATCGGAAGTTTAAGGTCATAGAGGAAAATGCTAATTAAAAATGTGTTTAAGACTGTTTTGGAACTGCTGAAATACATGTATTTTAGGTTTATTATGAAGCCGAACTGTATTCGAAAGTCAGTTTGTAATACTTTCTTGTAGTGATTGCTGTGCTGTTTTTCGAGAGTACATTTAATAGCTATATTTTCAAGTTTTCTTTTGAAAATGGCGCATTTATTTAGCAATCGCGAATATCATGATATGCTGGTGAAGTACAACCGCGTCGAGATCGGGACGGTGGCCCAGGGCGACCACTAAGAATCTAAATGTTGAGGAGATGATTTTAGATCTTCTCGAAGAAGATCCGCATCGTAGCACCAGAAATATCGCAGAACAAGTAAATATTTCGCATCCTATTGTGCGGCGGACATTACGAGAAGCTCAGTTGTACCCATTTTATATTCAACGTGTTCAAGCGCTTACTACTGAGGATTTCACTACGTCGAGGTTTTTGCGAATGGTTGCTTCAGGAACAAGCAAAAAATTCTCTATTTACAGCGCAAATACTTATTACAGATGAAGCATGTTTCAGTAGAAATGGTGCATCTACATAACGTCCACAACACTCACCACTGGACTATCGAAAATACGTCGGGTGCCTGTCAGCAACAGTTTTCAGTGAACATGTGGGCCGATAAAGTTAATGACACTTTAATAGGATCTTTTGAATTGCCTAAACGTTTAGACGGTACTTCATATCAAGATTTTTTGCAAAATCGCTTGTCGAAGTTATTGAAAGACGTGCCATTAAATGTTCGACAAAATATGTAGTTACTGAATCACTTTTTTCGGAGAGTGCCACCCCTTTAGACTTCTCTATTTAGGAGATATGTGAAAAGTGTTGTGAATTCCACGGAAGTTCGTGACATGACCAACTCCGACATCGTATTGCCAAAGCTTGTAATACGATTTAAGATGACGTGGCAATGTTGCAACGCGTGCGAGCGAATTGAATACGTTGTGCTGAAGCTTGTGTGCAAGCAAACGGTGGGTACATCGAACATCTATGAAAATCAGCAGTTCTCAAAAGGTGGCTCCTTGCAATGTTGATGTAAATCAACAAGGAAGGTTTTAAAATTACATTATGCTTAATACAAATCCGTGTATTTACCTCATTTTGACATAACGGACACCTGGCAAAAATATTTGACATAAGTTCATTAAAACCCTGTACACTTATATACCTTAAAGTGAGTCCCCAAATAGTAACTTCGACTTTCCATTTGTATAAGAGCAGAATAAGCATGTTTCAGGTTCTCGAAGGCTTGTTGACCTACAAAATAATATCTGTATGGTATGACATAGCAATATAATATCTATTTACCAATAATAGTATCTACTGCGGAATAAGATCACTTATGGTCACTTTAATACTAAAGATTTACTTTTTCTCGAAAAATATTCGTATCGATTTAAAAGTAAAAGATTGGAGAAGGAAATTTGAAAAGCAGTTACTATATCATTATATCTATTATGTATATTATCTTAAAACACTTTATTACACTGTGACAAGAATATTGGAAGATGATCAAAAAGGATTATACTTCAATGTACATATATACAATATACAAACTTAATTTAGAGTCAGTGTCAGTATATGGTCTCACTTGTAACAATCCCATTCCTTTCAAACAGGATTCTCTCTCTAGGTTTTTCGCAGATATATGCGTAACGCAACACGCAAGCTGCGTCTGTCCAGAACAAGCCTTTGTCTTTCTGGAACGAGAGGTTGAGGCAATGATCTACTGGACTGTCGGGTTGGCCCGTGTACCAGTTTGTATAGTCTATGACCTGAGCTAACGACATCCATACCCAAGTAGTCCCGTCTATCATTCTGGAGCCGGAAGTCCAGAAGATGTCACCGCCATCTGAAAATGAAATAAACAGGCCTTTAAATATAGCAAAATATAGTTCTTTTTCTTTGCGAGTAGACACATCAGATGCATATGAATATGCAACAAAATATAAGAAAGTATAATTATTGATTGTAATTTTAAAATAAATTTTGTTACAGATTCATATCAGAACATTCAATGGAGGGGCGGAGACAAAAACATTCAATTGATGGAACGTCAAGAAATTAAATGACAATTTTTCTCTCTCGACAGTAAAAAAAATATATCCAATTATATAGTACTGAAAAAACAGTTGAAAGTGATGAGAGTAATTAATTTACAAAAATGTAAAAGTACATAGAATGTTACGGCGACTATTTGAAGAATTATCTAATCAAAATTATATCATCCGTTTTACATTTAGAACCATCTAAAAACTATCGGTATGAACTACGTAATCGCCACTTTTCATATATGTATATAATAATTTTTTTTCAGAAAAGACCGATATTTATATTTGCGGTATACCGGGTGTGGCGTATATAATCTATAAAAACTAAACTACAGCTTCCTGGTGATATTTGTAATAGAAAAGTCTTATATGAAAAAATTCTATCTTCGCGTTTTTTTTTGTAAATCAAAGTTCATTTATTCAACGAAAATGAAGGCCGACCCTGTTTATTTATTAAAATCTTTGGAAATGTTTTTATGGGACCCGAGATGCAACCTCATAATTTATATACATTGATAAAATATTTGTGCAGTCAACTGATTTTGTATTTGTATTGAATTCATTATTCACTTAATTATTAAATATTAAGATCGTCCATCGACCCATCAGTGTTAAAAAGTAGAAAATTCCAGACAAAAGTTTTTATTTTGTAATTCCACGATAGTGACCGTGTAATATTTATAAAGAAGTAAAAAATAGGAATAGCGTGCCGATTACATTAAAAACGAGATTCTTATTCCTTACTTTGCTTAATTTTTTAGTTTGTGCACAAACTAGTTTTACAATGAACCGAGAAAACAATGTTTTATTTCTGAACGTGTCGATATGGTGTTAGTGTATGGTGCAGCCGGAGAAAATGCGCTCGAGGCAACTAGGTTGTACCGGGATCGATGGCCACAACGTCACCCCCATGTGCAAATACAAATCCTACAGTGCGTTCAGCGGCTGCGAGATACGGGAAGTGTGATTCCTCGAGGAGAAGGACGTGGTCAGCAAGTGAACCTTAATGTTGAAGATACAGTGTTGGAAAATCTTGACGAAGACCCCACAATTAGTACTCGACGATTCGTATAGTAAATAGGAACCTCATCTCGTACCGTACATCGCATCTTAAGGCCGCAGCTGTTGCACCCCTATCATCTGCTGTTCAACAAATTTTACCCTCGGATTGCGTGATCAACGAATGTGTTTAAGTAATTAAGAAGTGTTTATGTTTGTGTAATCGATGAGGCGACATTTACCCGTGATGAAGTGAATTTCCATAATATGCACATATGGGCCGATGAAAATCCTCACGCGATTAGGGAAACTCATTTTCAACATCGGTTCTCGATAAATGTTTGTGCTGGCATAATAAGCGATGTACTTGTGAGTCCCTATTTCTTTGAAGGACGACTAAATGGACCAACATATGCTGACTTTTTGGAGAACCGGTTGCCTGAATTATGTTTTATCTTCAATATGGGGCTCCCCCACACAATACTCGAGAAGTAACGACACTTTTGAATAAAATGTTTTTTCGGCGATGGATTGAACGCTTTGACGTGTACCGTGGCCACCTCGGTCACCCTATCTAAGTCCAACGGACTTTTATCGTTGGAGTCACTTGAAGTCATTGGTTTACAATACTCCAATTGCTATGGTGGAAGAATTGCGAAACCGTATGCTTGAAGCTGCTTACACGATTAGAGGAATACCTGGAATTTGGGAAAATATTCTTCAAAATTGGGTGCGTCGGTGCCATGCCTGTATCCGCGCTAATGAGTATCAATTTCAAAATTTTCTCTAGAAATAGAAATTTTTTTTTCATTTTGTTCCATATTTTAATGGAGTTTGTTTAGTGCACGCAGTTGGCAACTACAGATGCTTATGGATGTGATTTTGTTTGCGAACTCTTACAGTAACAACAATGCATTTAAGATTCAATGATATTAAAAAAAAAACAAGAAAAAAATCAAAGTTGGCGGATATAATTGAAAATTGACAGTCTGTCATAACTTTTAATTCCCAAAAACTTATTTAAGTAAATATTTTTGATATTTTTCAAAGCAAAGGTACTTTACTAATTTTTGAAAATTCATCGTAAAAACACCCTGTACATTAATTAATTGGACTAACTTCTTAGTTTAAGGCCAAGCAAAGATGATGCCCAGAAGCTCAAATTTCAACTCGAAAAAATTTTGTCATGTACATCCCACGTGCACTTAATCCGTACACACTGTATATATGACATTGATGCCATACTGCATCAAAGGCTTGTTTTGTATACAAAAATGAGGGCGAGTGCGACCTAGCAACAGCATTCATGTCATTTATACGAATAGTCAAGCAACCCTGATCGCATTAGTACTAGTATGGGTGGCCAATTGGAGAAGATTCGCGATGGTCGTCCTCCTTCTAGTAGCCGGTATGTCGGTGTATTCACAGAAGCTATAAAAATTTAGGCGAGGTTTTACAGAAAGACATACCACCCCTAGGAGAGGATGTAAAACCGTTGGTCCCTTATCTGGACAATTTTAGGCAATCTAAAGAACCCTACCCTATGACAAAGAGAGGGTCGGCAAAATTTCCTCTTCTGGCGTCAGTGTTTAGCCATAGTAGCAGAAACAAACCGACATAATACCAAATAATAACCAAAAAGCGAAAAGCGATGTGTAGACAAAAATGCTGACGCGCATATTTTCTTCTACAAAGTTTCTGTGATTAAAATTGTCATCTGCGTGGCACTGCAAAACTGAAATATTCTACTATTTCTTAATTCCTTTTAATATTTTCAACAATATACGAGTACATAGAATGGTTATCACTCAATACGATGTAACTACTGTTGATGGTATTCCATGTTTGAGTATCGTGATAATTGAAGCAAACTTGCATTGTATGGACAAGTATGTCATACATAGTTGTTAGTAGCATTATATCATAGCCTAGAGATTAGTGTGGACAGCTAGTACAGAACACCTAGGAAGGCATTGATTTCTTCATCATTTATGTGATTTATGGATACTATAGGTGTAAAAGCGTTCTCGAGGTAGTTTGCAAATATGCGCAACGATAAACAATTGGCTTGTCTTATTAAGGAGATTGAAGCTATTGGCCTGAACGTTTGGGGTCAGGTCCGTGACTACTGAAGAACTGAAGTGAAGAAATTATTCTTGAATTCATGTAATGTCTAAGCCCATAAATGTCCATTTTATTAAAAGGATTTTCGGTTCTTTGCATATTCTGCGAACTTTTCGACTTCAGTGATCAGTTTCTTGATGTAGATAGGAATATCTATCTACAGGGTGTTTTTGAATGGAGTAGCATAAATGATACCAGTGAATCTACATTTCGAAAGAACACGATCTGCAAAAAATCGCCTTAGTAAAATGTTCACCCCTGAAGAGATATGGGCCATCAAAGTTTCCAAAAAAATTATGAAAATTGGCTGTAATTTGAAAACCGAACGAGGTACAAATAACAAATTTTTTACAGGTTGTTTACTAATACAGATGCGAGTTTTCAACTATTTTTCGAAAATTTTAACCCCTCGAAAGGGGTTGAAATAACCACCCCTCAAGCCATTTTTTGCCATAACTTTTATATTTCGTAAAAACTCGATATCCAAAAATACGCATTAGATAAACTGGTTCTTTTAGAAACTTTTACCTCTCTAGCAATTTTCCTTTAAAACTTTTCGTTTATTAATAAAAAAATAAAATGTATTACCATTCACCTCACACCGTATATGATTGCAATCAATCAAAGAAAAACTAAGTGTGCTGCTGTCATGCCAGTTGTCACAATTAACTCTTCTGTAAGTTGTCACTGTTATCAGCTAAATACTTTTTGGGTGTAAATTAACAAGAATTATGCCAAATTTTACTAATGATGAATATGTGGACATGCTACAAGTGTTTTTTTCTACGATCGTGCAAAATTTACTACTTATTGCACTACCTACTGTGCCAAAAGTTTAACTTTTTTTACAGTAGTACAAAAAAAATATTGATTACAAGTTTAATCTAAGCATATCCATAAGTACCTAACGTCTGACATTGACAATTTGCGCAATTAATTTCCAGTTGTCAGTTAAAATTTTAATATTATGTAAAATACTGTTAAATAAAATTTGAAATAAAAACAATCGTAGAAAAAATGTTGCGTGCAACATGTGCAAAAAGCATATTTGTTGCACTTAACATGATTGCAGCTCTCAACTTTGTCTCGAGCTGCAAACTTCATGCACCGTACAACAAATACACACCCTTTACACTAGTTGCACAAATAACTGTTTGAATGTCGCAGAAAATTTTATTAAATTAGAAGTACAATGAAAACGAAACTAAGAAATAATTTATTATCAAAAAGAAAAAAAACAAAAAACTTAGTTAAAGGACATTTTCAATATAATTGCCATTTCTTTCTAAACACAAACTAACACGTTTATCAAAGTTGTTACGGACTCGAGCAAAAATTATGGGATTGTTGCGAATCTCATCAGCCGCCGCGAATATTCTTTCCTGTAGCTCTTCAACACTGTCAACTGGGGTCGCATAAACAATACTTTTTATATGTCCCCAAAAGAAAAAATCCATGGGCGTTAGATCGGGAGAACGTGCAGGCCAAGAGATAGGTGCCTCATTGCCGCGACCTATCCAACGATTCGGGTAATTTAAATTAAGCCACCGCCTAACTACTACAGTGCTGTGAGCAGGAGCCCCGTCATGCATGTACCACATGGCCTGACGTACATTTAATGGTACTTCCTCCAGAAGTGGTGGTAGATGCTCATTTAAGAACTGCAAATATTCAACAG